CCCTCCGACGAGCACCATCTCAATAAGAGTATTGTAGCATTCGCGCAACGACCACAGCCTTTGTCAAAGAAGTGTTTCCGAGTCTCCCTGCTCTCTTCTATACTTGTTGTCATTGCGGTAGCCTTGGGTATGTACACGCACTAGTTGCAACGGGTGAACAGCAGATAAAAATAATGAAGTCCAGTGATGCCTCTGGAAGGAGTATGTTGCAAAGTAGCTGGCGAGTCCTGTCTTATAGAGAGATCGTGATGAAACCCATTGATGAGTGCAACCTCTTGGACGGAATCGACGACATCATTCCTATCAATAACAGAGAAGGTGCGAAAGAGACTAGATTATAACCTAGACGGAACGACCATAAGCTTTGCGAACTCGAAGATCTATAGCAACATCAAGATGGACTTCAAGGATGTTACCTGAGAGGCCCCAGTGGAAGAGTGAATGCTGTGGGCTTCGGTGATTCGATGTTCAGCGCTCGGTCGGCCACCTAATCGATCAGTTTTGATTGCTTCCCGTGAGATTCGAAAGATACCGCGTTGATTAGCTAGCGTTACTTACTACCTTTGTGACCTATTTCTACCAGATCATGGCTCATGCCACTCGCGATGTGAAGTCGACAACTGACTTGGAATGCTTGTGGACATGTTACATCTAGTTTAAGTTCTTATGTCCAACATGTACGCGAGACAGCGTAAAGTATCCATTCTTTCATTGTGAGTATCTCACTATTTCTTCTAGAAACCGAAATGCACCCACTGCCCAAGGGGAATTTTGTCGCTAATCCGATGAAGGATATGTATTGTAAGCTTCTCTCTTCGTTGCTACCTGTTGGTTTGCGTGTACCACAGGTTAGTCACACAGGTATTCCTGGTATCGCGATCGGTAGCAATATCGTTGGGTTAATCTGGTGTTCTTGTTGTTGTTATTGTTGTTAAGGAGAGTATCTAAACGCGAAGGCTCGTGATATGGAAGGAGGGAGCTGAGATGTGTCACGTGTCTTCGGCACGTGACATAGCTCGGCTCTGTGTATACCTAGCGATTGCCGTTTGTTCCCACACTACCATTTGCCAGACATAACGGTTGGCAATGGTGGTCACGAGAGATCTCGGCATGCTTTCTCTTAACGTTGCACCGTAAAGATATCGAAAGAGTCGGGTCGTAGTCATTTCATCAGATTGTCTTAGAAGTAGCCTCTCACAGTTTCAAGAGCCTAAAGGCATCCATCTAGCAGCACAAGAATAACGGCTCGCCGTGTGTCTAGTGCGGTATCTTAGCGATTGGCCGGCGGTTGCTTCAACCCTTAGACTTGGCCATTGAGAAAGTCGTGATATCTCTGACGATGGGTTCCGTTCTTGCACTGGAACGTATAACCGGCTATGTAAAACGTTCTCATCAAAGCCTCATGTTGTAAGGGTTGTCACTGATGACTATCATCACATGTTGCTAGACATAAGTCTTGGGCTCGACTGTATACTTCTGGAAAGGTACGTCTTTTGGGCAGTAACCCCAAGCGTCTCATCAACGATGAATAGAAAGGCTAGACCTTGGTTTTGAATATGAACGTTGAAGTTACCATCAATCTTCGGAGTTACATTCATACGTCGGGCTCCGTCGTGCTTCCCGGATCAATTATTGAGCTCTCAACTATTTTCAAGAGTGTTGATGGCACTCTGACATATCCAAACACCACTGGGCTTCGCTTGCATTATCATTCAAAAGCACGATGAACGAAGCCTTAACTGCCACTGCGTGTCCGTACGTTGCTGTCGTTGTTCAGCGTCCGGGAAAACCATGGGTGTGCCTTGGTCGACGTTTGCTTCGGTGACAGCAGAAACAAGAAAGCTTGGTGCAAATGACACAATCGCCAACCTTAATTGCAAGCTGTCGAGTCGTTCGAAACAAGTCATAGTACACCAGAGACCCATGTCAACCACAAGTCCTCAACAAAATAAGGTAGCAGCACTGGGTGTTATCACACAATTGAGGTGACGGGCGATGCCCGTAACCTGAACTGAAGAGAGACTCGAGGTAAAAGAAAATGAAAAAGGACCTTGTTCTTATCATCTAGTTTGCTTTTTGTAAAGCCTGATAGCTAAATGCTTCAAAATGGGGGGTATCTAACTCGCTGTAGGTGGTTTCTGGAAACTTTTCAGGGGATTACAAATGCTGCTCTGGTCGAATTGACCTCACGATGTCACGTCCTCTCCTCCACTGACACCGGCCTCGTCCCGTCGAATATGTGATCCGGCCGATCCGGCTCGGGCGACACCATCGGTCCTCTACCCTGCATCATCTCCCTCTGCGCCTGCGTCAAGCCCTTCGTCGTGCCTGTAGTGTCCTGCGTGATCAGACCCTTTGTATACCCGCCCGGCGTATCGTCCAAGTGGTGGCAGTCGCACGAGTTCATCTTGGTGAAGGCGAGCAGCTTGTTGAGCACCGTGAACTCAACCTTAAGCTTGATGCTGTAGACCAGGGGCTTGCTCGTCGTCTGGAACACAAAGTTGTTGGTGTACTCGAGCACAATAAGCCCGACATCCAGTAAAATGACGAGGACGAAGAGACCAAGCAGATACCACGATATCAACTTGGCCGCCCTCGTCTTGAATGCAAACAGCGGCTTCAGATTGAAAAACCCTTGCCGCGCAAAGATCCCCGTGATGAACGTCTCCTGCAGCGTAAACACCACAATCGACACCTTTTCTGTCACGAGTTATGGCACGCAGCAATGGGCATATGAAGTGGGTTAAAGTGGGTTAAAGTGGCTTGAAGTAACCCATCTAGAATGAGCACATGATGATGATGATGATGATGATGTATTTAACGTCTGGTAACAAAAGGACGTGCCGGGCGCAATGCCGACATGGTCTATACTAATCTAAACTATATTACAGGCTACCGTCTTCACCTAACGTTCCTGTTCAATGACTCGGGCAAATTTCGGAAAAGAAATTAGTCTCCTCTATCCATTCGCATAGAAGAGAGGCTCCCTTAGCAGAACCTAACAAGAAATCAATGCTTGCTTTAGCCATACGTTGGCGGAGGTAGCGCGGTGTAGCCTTGCGTCCACGCTTGCAGAAGTAGAAATGGACTGGTGTCTTGGGTTTCCCACAGCTGCAGTTGAGCAACGCATCTTGATGAGCGAATCTCTCGTGGTATGCTGCAAAGTCTCCATGATGGGATCTTGCTGCGTATAGCCTTCCTAGTAAGTGCCGAGGGAGGCGGAGTTCGGGCGGCTTGGGGTGAAGAATTATCTCGAGGTCGGCATATTGCCGAGGGCATTGGGAAAGCCATTTTCTGGCAAAGGCTTGGAAGGCAGCTGCTTTAGCTTGCATTTCTAGGTGCGCTAATGAGGGCTGTGGTTGTGATTTTGGGATTAGTTTGCAGGCTTCCTTGGCTAGAGCATCCGCTTCTTCATTTCCTGGTACTCCCGTGTGCCCAGGGCACCACCAAACATAAACCCTGCCGGGGGTTGTCCAGCTCTCTCTTTGTCTCCGAGTCCAGGAGGAAGAGAGCCTATTGAAGGCCCTAAATCTAGCCTGGCTGCTTCCTGTGCTCTAGGAGTATAGTCTAGCCGCGACTGCGAGGTTGTCGAGGCAGATGTGGACGTTATCTGCCATACGAGCCGTAGGAGCCCGGGTGGCTTCCATCAGGCCGTGATACGCAGCATGTGCCTCCGCGTCATACACCTCAGTTTGGGAGCCGAGTGGTTCGGATCCGCGGAAGATCTGCCGTGTAGCTTGGTACCCTACCCAGCCTGCTCCGGCGGAGGTGCTGCTGCCGTCCGACATCTGGGACCCGTCAGTGTAGACAACAATGTCCCGCTTGGAGAAAGTTGCCATCCTGCCTGCAAAGGAGAGGGCCTGTTCTTCTTTGGTCTTATTAGATTCGTAGCCGACCCTGGCGAGGGCTGTCTGCCAGTCCGCTAGTTGCTCCCAAGGGGGGAGTTCTAACGGATCGATGTATTCGGTATTTTTGCTTACGAGGCTTGCCATTCGTCGTAGCCGTGAGTCTGGTCCTGATTTGTCCCTGAGTCTCGTTCGGAGAGGGTGTCGCTCGTCCAGACGATGGATTCTGGTGGACGCTGTGTGGAGCTTCGCGTCCAGTATCACCTCTGCTGGGGGTAGAGCCGCCTCGCGCTGTAGGATCGGTACAGGCGTCGTTCTGTATACGGGGACCATCGCTCTGATGGCTTTGGTTTGCGTCGCGTCCAGTTGGTGTAGCAGACTACCAACCCCGTTTGAGATAGTACGTCCATTCTTTATCCGGCTCTTGCCGGGCCACCATGCTTCAGATGCATAGTACTGAGTGGGTAATACACAAGAGGTGATCGCTCGACGAAGTAAGTACGCAGGCGCGCCCCATACAGTGTTCCCTAGTCCCCGTAGTCCATTGACTACTTGGCATGCTTTTGCAGAGAGGTTTCTTACGTGACTCTTGAATGTGAGTTTACGGTCGAAGTAAACGCCGAGCCAGCGTAGAGAAGAGCCTTCTTTGATAGCCTGAACTGTATGATACCTCCCATCCGGCAAACCTACTGTGATTGATGGGTTTCCGTCTTTTCGTCTCTTAGTGAAGTGGATCAGTTCGGACTTATCGAGGTCAAAAGTGATTCCTTCCGTCGCGCCCCATCCTAAGGTTTCTTTCCATTCCTTGGTTAGGATGTCATAGTTGTTCTCTAGTGATGTTGAGCTTGCCAAGATAGCGACGTCATCGGCGTAGCCGAAACGAGATCGCTTCCTTCCTAGGCGAGCTATGCCTAGCTTGAAAAGAGGTTCAATATAGAGCATGAATAGAATGGGAGACACGGGTGAGCCTTGTAGTAGTCCGCATTCGAGACCGAAGACGTCTCCTACCTCCCCATCAAGCCTTATTCTTACTCTCCTTCCGGTAACAAAACTTGAGACCCAGCGTACGAGGTTCTCCGGCCATCCTTGTTCGCAGAGGCGTCGGACCAGTCGTCCTGGGAGCACGGCGTCGAAGAATGAGCACATGAGAGCAGTCTATATACTAAGAGAGTGTGATATCCACGTGAGAAAGCACGTGGCAAGATGCTTGACAAGTGCTGATACCATTCCTGTTTCGTGACATTTTCATACACCCCGTACTTCTCAATCCAACCCGCCTGCTCCCCCGCTGGCGTCGCCCAGCACAGAACCCACAGCACCGCCGTGGGGATATGTATCGCGCACCCGTTGGCGACGATCATGGCGAGAACGAGGCGTATCGACGTGCGATTGTACACGACGAGGTGCAGCCGCGACCACAGCACGACGGACTGGCCCGTCACCATGGCGCACCAGGCCAGCAGCGCGAAGGCGCCAGGCACAATGGTGCCGCCGCGCCGGAGGTAGCGAATCAGCGAGACGATGGCGTGGACGAAGATGCCCGTGTTGGCGACGACCATGCTCCAGAAGTAGCGGCCGCGGCGCTGGCGAAAGGTGCTGAAGATGAGGACGTAGATTTCGACGGCGTTGTAGATCCCTGCTGTGGCGAGGGCGGCGATGGCCATTGCCTCCTGGCGGGTGAGGTCCAGGGCGCCCTTGATGTTTTCTGCCATGGTTTCTGCGTTTTTTCCTTGCTCTTAGATCGTGCGTTTCCGCTCGCTCGCTTGCGGATATGATGGCTTGGGGGGTTGGTGAGAATGAACAGGGCGAGGAGCGGGCCGAATCGTCTCGGCAATGCAGAGGGCGTACTCCCCCTTCTTGGGGTCCTTGGTTGGTGGAATTGCGCGACTACCTTCAAAGCCTTCGATTGCGTATCCGGCATAGGAGACGCTGGCTCAACAGATATATGGACGGCCGAGAATCTCGGGCCTGGTGGAGTTTGGAGCCATTGGGCAGCAAAATGGAAAGAGCAGCCGGGTGGAGCGTAGGCAAGCTATGAAAGTTGATTGTGTGGTTGCCCCCATCCTATAAAGTAGAGCACGCGCTTCGTCCCTTGTCTGTTCTTGAAACGGGGTTCACAGCGATGAGTCGGGTTAAGGTTTCGAAAATCGGTTTTGTTGAAAAACTCCATGGTTTAGCCAGCCGAAGTTTGCAAAAGGAGGATCCTGTTTGTATGCACAAAGGCGCAGACATGCAGAGAGCAAGGGTGGGAAGCGAGAGGGCCTCGGTGTCGGTTCTCCTGACTCGGTCTCGCCGCAATATAACTATCCAAAGTGTAGAGAGGGCAGACATTATCGGCGTAAGGCGTAGTTTCCATCTGATGTTGCCAATTTTCCCCAAATCCCTTTCGTCCGCCCCGGTGTGCTCTGACGATCGACAGCAGCAGACGTGTTAGAGCCAAGCCAACCCGCCGGCCGGCAGCCGATGATTAACCGGTAAAGCATTCGGCGACCTCGATTTGACAACCAAATTGGGATTATCTGGGGCTAAATACTTTCACGAGAGACGACGAATGAACCGAACGAACCCTGTATCCGAGAGGAAGGCTACTGGTTCTGTGCGCGGAGCGCGTGGATGGACGGGTCATTCGGACATCATCTCAATCTTTCAGATGCGTACTGTTCTCTCGCCAAATGGTTCCCAGGTCAGCCTTTGGCAGGGCGCAAATTACTAGGCGATTTTATCTGTAATGACAGTTGACAGTGAGGACAAGCTCGTTTGCACTCAAAGAGCCTGCTGACCAACAACGCAGTTGTGATTTCTAGCTTATCGTCCCAAACTACAGCTGGTGGCTGGCCCCTTTATGGTTTACTATTCTCTTTACCCGGATCACTAAACAGTAACTTAAGTAGCTAAACAAGCGCTAGCGAGAAACCCAATCTTCTTATGGAGCGCTGCTTTACCATGCCTCGATGGGGATGTCGATACCGCCGGTGGAATATGTTTTCCGTGGATCGCTCCGGATGACGATCCACTTCGGCGCCGGCTCGAAATGCTTCCAGTTCTGGTTAAACGGGGCCGCGCCGAGTTGTCCGGGCCCCATTCTGACGAGCATGGACCGAAGCCGGTGGGCGAACCCCACTCGGAAATTCCGTTGAGATGGTACCTAGAATCGATGTCTCATCTGGAGAAACAATCGCTCTATCTACTTCTGGTCTAGATTTTGCAGAGAGAGAAGACATAACATGCCATACTGAAGCAAGGCCGATCTCCCCGAGGGGCCCGCGATGCGCGGGTCTCCGGGCTCGTGTCTGAGACATGCGAAGGGAACGTCAACCTAGAAAGAGTTGGACACGACGGTGTCCAAAGCCTTCAAGGGTAGGTAGTTTGGCAATGCCGGGTCTTCTGCAATGGAATATGTCGGAAGACCTAAGCCCCAAGCCAACACTCAAGCCATGGCATGGTGAGCATAGTTCACGAGAAGCTGCGTGACTTACTCCTCGGACGGCGTCCAAGTACAGCCTTTGTCACGTTGAAAGGTCAGTAATCACGCCGAAACCCCATATCCCTGAGATCGACACTGGTTAGCTGGCTACCGCAACATTGCGCTCCAGATTGTGTCACTACTTCAAGTCAAAGTCTCCTGTCTAGTTAGCAGCATCAGTAGTCTGCAGTTGAGACGCTACATCACTGGATGCAATCTAGAAGATGGTTGCGAGTCTACGTCCGTATCGCGCCTTGCCCGCACACCTACCTCAAAGTCAATATTTCTGTGTCTACTCTTATGCTCTTTGGGATTAAATGCTGTGTTGATCGTTAGATCGTTGGGTTGCAAGAAGCCCATCGTGAAACTTCTCGAACGCAGTCAGTCGCCGAGATGGTGACAATAGATGAACTCCTGCATCAAGCAGAAGCGAAGTCGTGGCGCTGTAACTTGGGGGGTCGCAAATGCTAGGTCTGATGCATCTTGCATCCGTTACTGCGCCTTTGGCTCTTTGCGGGTTCATCACCCGCAAGTATCATTGTCTGCACCAGCGGGGAGGTTTGAGTTGCCATTGCCTGGCACATCGTCTCGGCAGAACCCCGCCCCTGCTGCTTAACCACAACCTTCAAGTTTTTGGGTCGGCTATTGACATCCTAGCCCGCCGTGCGCGCGACTAGACCTCTGTAAGTGGGATCCCGCACCATCGCCAATTCGCTCGGGTAAGGGGGAACACCATCTCCGCCCGTGATGAGATAATTGTCCGGACGGACACTAGATGCATCCTATTCTCACTCAGGGAACAAGAACGATTCTCCTCATGACGGGAGCTTGTTCAAGTAAAGAAAGGGCTCGGTCCGGGGGCTCTGCCAACTAGGGAAACTGAACCATTGTTTCATGCGTCCACACGTGGGAAGAGGAGTCCAGTGACCCGTCGCTCAGCCATTCAATCCTGCAAGGCGATCAGCCTGTCAAGTCGTCGGCCCGCCGTGCTGCACGCACTACCCCTCGGCGGTCGGACGGCCGGGTTCACGTGTCTTTTGAGGATTGTGGCATGATTTGAGCATAGGCTTCGACCGTCGAGTCGCAGTCGGGTTCGCTCTTGATCATGGATCGTAGTGATAAATTGCCAACGTGCTGCATGCTGCGTGTTGCGCTGCCAGAGCGGGGGATCAGTCTCATCGCAGTGATTCTTCACACGCATCTAGTAGATGCTCGGAGTCTCCGTAGCAGAACTGCTCCGTACCGACACCGAATTCGAGAAGCCTGTAAGTTGGAAACTTGTTCTCTGCATGAACAATCCCACGTCGCTTGGAGACTTCTGCGGGAGAGGGCCGGTGGGATACTGGGTATTGCATCCGATGGGGATCAGATGGCATTTGGGGCAAAGACCCGATCTAGACAGTCCTCTTGAGTGAGAGATCGTTGGCTGGTGCTAGAGCCTAGAAGGCACGTGGAGGAATAGACCAGTAGATCTAGAAGGCGAGAGGATCTGGAGAAGATGACCTGGTGTCTGATCTGGCACTTGATGTTGGGGAGCAGTCGGGAGCAGTGCCCAGTTGGATACCTGTAGTAGAGAAGTTGCTGACAAAGCACCGCAACTAACAGCACGTGACTGACGTGACGAGTTCGCGCTAGGGCCATCGGCGCTGACCCGCCCGATTACGCCGGTGCCCCACCTGCGCAATGCGAGACGCGACTTCCATTGCGCCGTGAAATTGCGTCGAAAGTTGTCGATGGTACATTTTTGACATGCCCTAGGCGCCTCCCACCGGGATAACCACGCCTCATAGTCCCAGGCTGACCGAGAAATGGCTCGAATCGTCAAGAGTCATGCCGCCGAAGTGATCGACCTTCTGTCCAGCAGCCCTTCGGCTGGGGTTTCTCGTGAGAACGCAAGACCCCCACTATCTCGTCCTGTGTCACCCGCTGTTGCAGTCGTCGCAACGGCGCTGGCATACGGCGACGAAGATGTGTTTGACTTGACGGCCGAATCGCCAGAGATGGTCCCGAAATCTCTACCACTGCCATCCGTACTGCCGAAAGCGACATCCCCATCATCGACACACTCAGCGACAAAACGAGCACGGGAGGAAGCTGCTCCTGTAAATACGCCCATCTACTTCAACTCAGACGACTTTGATACAACTATCGACCTCGACAGCAGCCTACTACTCGGAAATGGGTTGCACAACGAACCGCGAGAACGCAAAAGACCACGGCTCTCTTCTCCCCGACGCAGTCGCAGGTCCTCCTTCGACCGTTCCCATTCCGCCACTGATCAGGGTTACCGGCCCCCGCAGAAGCAAGCTGTCGGTTTGCGACAAGTCCATTCGGTTGTGGACCCAATCGTCTCTAGCTCCCCCGGTGTCTACTCCCGACCAACGACAACTGCTCCAGCTACTTCAGCGGTGGTAGACAGGCTTGACTCCGATGACCCGTTCGCAGCACTACCACCTTCAGCCCAGCCTGCGCCGATATCTGAGCCCCCTCTTCCGAAGGCCACAGCTACCGGGGCCGGCCGTATAAACTACAACTTAAGCTCCGATGATCCTTTTGCGAGTTCACCCCCCGTGGCACGGAAAGCAGCGCCACAACCGAGTACAATACTCTTGGACGACGACAATGACGATCCATTTGCCAGCTCACCGAAACGAGCGCCGACGGAGACTATGAAACCTCCAAACACTAGAACATTAGCTGGGCCCACAGTCAAGGGAAAAGAGAAGGCAGTTTCACCGTCCAGACGAAAAGCTCATTGGGACCCGATCTCGAGCTCTGCGCCCGAACTAAAAGCTAGAAGCGATCCGTTCGAGAGCTCCCCTCCCCCGCCGCGAAAGACCATGACCAAAGCCGCCAGCGCTGTGATCAATCTCAGCGATTCTGAACCGGAGCCTGTAGCCCGTGGTTTCGATGCCGACTCAGATGGAGAGTTTCCGGACCTCGATAACTTCGACGTTTCGAAACTCAAAGCACGATTGGATACCAAGAAGCCTACTTCCCGACCTACGTCAAAGGCGACATCGAAAGCCACCTCCAAATCGAATACCGGCCGCGCAACGACTGCAAAAACTGCGGAAGACAAGACGAGAGAAAAGGAGGCAAAATCGGCGGAACGCGAACGCGAAAAGGAACGCAAGAAGCAAGAGAAAGAGTTGGCCAAGGAGCAAAAGGCCAAGGAAAAGGAACGAGCGGCTGCGCTGGCAGAGGTCAACAAGATCAGGACCGACAAGAAGGTCTCGACGCCGGAGATGATTGCAGACCTACCGGCCAGCCTGCCCGCCGCCATGACGCTTCAAATACAGACGTTGTTGAAGGACCTAGACGTGCAACACTCTTCCTGGGAGAGCCCTGTGGACAACGTGGTCAAGTGGAGGAGAAAAGTCGCAAGTCGGTTCAACGACGAGCTCGGGCACTGGGAGCCGATTCCGATGCGCATTCAACCAGACAAGTTCGCGCTCGTCATCGTCACCGCGTCAGAGTTTGTCACGTACGCTCTAGGACCCGAGGGCAACAACCTCGAGGCCCACGTCTCCAAGATGAAGCGCCATTTCCCACAAGAGCAGCTCATCTATCTGATTGAAGGCCTCAACCCATGGATGAGGAAGAACCGCAACGTCCGGAATCGACAATTCGCATCCGCCGTGCGCGGTGAGGATACCGCGACAGGAGATGCGCAGGCTTCGACGAGCGCCCCTCCTCCTAATCCGCGGCGGCGCAAGAACCAGCAACCGCAGGAATACATTGACGAAGACTCGGTCGAAGACGCCCTGCTCCAGCTGCAGGTCATGTACGACGTTCTGATCCACCACACCGCCGCGGCCGTCGAGACGGCGCAGTGGGTCGCCGTCTTTACGCAGCACATCTCGACGGTGCCGTACCGGAAGCAGCGCGAGGCGACCAACGCCGCGGGCGCCGGCTTCTGCATGGAGACGGGCCAGGTTCGCACGGGCGAGGACGTCAAGGATACCTACGTGAGGATGCTGCAGGAGATTGTGCGCGTCACGCAGCCTGTGGCGTACGGCATCGTGTCCGAGTTTGGGACGGTCGGGGAGCTGGTGAAGGCGTTTGAGGAGCGAGGGCCGCTTTGTTTGGAGAATTGCCGTAAGAGTACGAATAAGGATGGTGGATTTTCGGACCGGGCGGTTGGGAAGGCCGTCAGCAAGAGGATTTACAAGATTTTTACGGAGACGGATGAATGGAGTACGGATGTATAGGGTATGAATAGGATAGGTGTGGGTTGTTTTGTATGAATAATGACTGAATGATATTGGCATAGCATTCACAATTGAGGTGTGATTAGGATTGTATTCCATCGATGGTTATTGCCCAAGTCACGAGGCTTTACTTCCAAAGCAGATTCGCAATGGTCACGTCGAGATATGCACGATGAGTTTTACGAGGTACTTCAATCCAGATTCTATTCATGGTCACAAGAGATTCTAGACTAGGTGTCCCTTCGCTCTCCTTCGCCATAGCGTCTGTATCCAACAACAGTACTTCAATTAAGAGACAGATGATTATTCCCGTGAAATGAGTTTTGTATTTACACCCTGAGGCAAAGCCCTTGTTGGAAAGGCCGCCGATGTGACTGATGAGTACCGGCCCCCCTGGCCACGAGATGAGGGGTTCGAACCCTCCAGCACTCATCAGGATGTCATGTTGTATTTGACTTTAGGCAGTTTGTTTCTGACGCATGTTTTGCTTTGCTTGTAGACACAGTGTGCTTCTGACATGTGTTTATTTCGACCCTGGCTCCAGGGCGCTTGACTGGTAGACCAGAATACCGCTTGCCGGAAACACAGGGCCACCGTCAAAGGCAAGCCGCAAGGCTTCGAAAGTTCAGTGCCGTGGTTTAGATAGGTTTGCTCTGGGTATGTTGGTGGGTCCACGTAGAGTTCCTCTGGGCGTTTTCTGCTCTGTAGAGGTTCTTTGTGGTTCAAGGTTCTGCGCCTCGGGCGAATAGTGCTCTGTGAAGGCTTTTTTGATGTTAGCCAAGGCTCTCAAAATGATCCGGTAACAATGAAGATGAATAGCGCTTGGATGTCAGACAGCGGTTGGACGAAGTTGTTTCCACATGTATACTTTCGGTACAGGTCTGTGAATAGTCTTGCCTCATCATGAAAAGCGCGCATCGGAGATGTCGTTGACGAAATGAAAGATGTAAACATACCATTTGGTTATCGACCGAAGTAGGATGGGTAAAACTCTTACGGGGCAGCAAAATTTCCTCAATTCAGCTGTCCTCGTGCTTCCGTTTGGATGCAGTTGGTTTGAAGAACGCGCTGAGCGTCTTCTGCTTCTCGTCAAACTTTGCGCTGCCAATCCCTCCGCGCGTCTTTTTCAACCCGCGGAGGTGATCGGTGCAGTTGACTTCCACAATTTCGAGCTTCAAGTGGGGCCATTTGGCGTTCTGCGTGCCGCCTCGCGAACCAGCAGCAGACTCTTTCGCATCGACTGCCGGCGGCATCGTCTTGACACGCATCAACAGATAACCGGTGTTGCTCCACGAAAAGTGCTGCTGCTGATCCGACGTACCGGTTGCTAGAGACCCAAAGTTGCCAGCGGCAAGGAGAACCCTCGCCAGCACGCCCAGGATGATGCCATGGGCGACGATGATGATGCTCTCCGTGCCAATGCTGCCGCCTTCTTGTTCTTCATCCCGCTCCCCTTCGACGCAAGCGAAGAGGGGAGCGAGGTACTCGTCCACGAACCGCTCCGCACGCACGCGCATCGAGTCGTGGTCTTCGGCGCCTTCGTGTCTGTCTCCAGACGAACGGGCGCCGAAACTCTGACCCTCGCCTGTCCCAAAGTGTTTCTCACGGAGCTCTGCTAGCTGCAGCGGGATCACCCCAACAGTCGAGGCTGTACGCCCTACGTCGCTACTGGACGATGCCAGGGCATCGGCATCGCCAGTTTGAGGCGAGGGGGTCGGGGAAACCGGCGCTACCAGCATCGCAGTGCGGTGGGCTCTTTGGAGGTTCGACGAAAAGACGTGCGTGATTGGGGCCGGAGCTGCAGCGGTTCGTGTCGCTAGGTGTTCACCCAGGCGCTTGGCTTGCAAGACGCCATGGTTCGTCAAAGGTGCATCGCGAGACCCAGCACTGCAAACACGCGCCACGCCCACAAAGAGCGCGCTGCTAGTTAGAATGGGAAACAAGTTGAATTTTCGCTGAAGAGGCGAAAAAGGAAGTTGCGACCCAGACTAGAATCTGGCAAGCGCACAAAAAGTGGTATTGTGGCGGTGTGGGAAATGCGTACTAGAGGTTCGCGACGTTATCGACGGATTCGCCGTGGCGAATGAGGTATAGATGAACCGCGCCCATGGTTGCCTTTTCAAGCGAGCCAAAAAGCGCCTGTCTCAAGGAGTGCTCTGGAGATCGCTTCGGAAATGCTCTTGAGGCAGAGTTCGTAACGGAAACCGGATGAGGATGGAATGGAAGAAGGCTGGAAAAGAAAGAGGCGCGATCAGGGTTTTGTAGCCGCATGAGTGGGGCACTCACCGTGATCGTTTAGATGCATGACGTGCCCTCGGCTCGCTTAGTAGAATTTCCCAGCCCTGGTACGGATAAATCTTCTTGGATTCTCGTCGACGCGTCAACGCGTCAATGTCTGGAAGTTTAAGTGTGGATTCAATTGCAGATTGCCCCGCCTCTCTTGTCCTCCAGAATCCGAAAGTTAACTCTTCGATGTTCCATTTGAGGCTACCATATTCTACGAGCCTTACGTTCTACCTTCTGCCAACTTAAGTCTCCGGATGGGGACGACCAAGCGAGCACTCGGAGCTTTCACCGTGGAGGGAAGACTACAAACAATGGCCACGAGATAAAGCTACCACATGGAATTCTTGCCCGCTTTTCATGCATTCTCCCAAATCGGCACTACGCTTGTGGTGTAACTTGCTCTACTCAATCCTACTCAACATTTGCTGCTAGACTTCATCCCGAAGCAGCCCAGTTTGCTGCCAGAAAGCCACACGTCATCATCTACATCAACATGTCAGCAGAAAGACTATCGGCACGGCATAGCATGGCTCCATGCTCTTATGGCTGTACTCACCAAGGTATCTATGGGTCTCGCGAAACTGGGTTGGGCTTCCGAATGCGCACTGGCAGACAAGGTTGCCAATGTCGGGATGGTATACGCAGTCCTTGCAGCTCTTGGCGAATCCGCCCCTGTGCACCGTTATTAGCCTCAAAGGTTTTAGGTCTCGCATGGTATCTTTCGGGGTCTTACTTTTGTTGTCCACGTAGGACCCCGTGATCATTGATGATGCAGTCGTTGAGTTCCAGGCGGGAACATTGCATGTAAGGCGGCCTGTCCAATTAGCACGCGTAGTGAATCCAAGGGTTCTGGTCCTTGTCGCCGAGACCGAAGTTGACAAACTCGCAGTTGTGGAGGAAGTTGTCGTCATTCTTCCGCTCGTCGGCGTCGGCTGGGGCTGCCATTGCCAAGGTCGTAGCAACGAGGATGTCAAGTTGGGATGTTGACGCAGGGTGGAAGCTCTCAGAGGCCAACTGCAGTTAGGGGTAGAATGATGAATTACTGAAATCTACTCCTCCCTCGACGTGTACTCCCTGCGCTGTATATATATCTGAGCTGCTCCTTTGTTGCTTGGACTCCTTACTACCTCTGACTAGCCCCTATCCGGGAGGGCTCTGACAGAGGAGTACTGTGAAGCACTTCATCGTGGGATTGATTCTCTTACTTGTCGAAAAATAGTACAGGAAGGGGCGAAAGCACGCTATCGTAGGCCAGCTCTGGTCTCTGGATAAGTCAGTCAAAAGACCGATCTAGTGGTGCAGGTGACAGCTTTTGTTGTTGTTGTTGTTGTATTTAACGCCGTGGCGGCAAAGGCGCTGCCGCCCTTGCGGCCGACCTCCCGAGGGGTATATGGCGTGGAGGGCCGTAGGCTCGAGCTATATACTCTATAGTACACGCCTCTTCCTAACGTCCTCCAAATCTTGCCCGTGGGCTACTGTTTCTATCCGTCCCTAGTTCCCGCTGGTTCCCTAGCTCCGTTGTTACCGTCTGTCCCTCTAGGAGGAGAAATTCGTTAGTCAGGCCTAGGTCAAGACCTAGTCCTTAGTACCGCGGGCAGATCTTCTGAAAGAAGTCTGTTACGCAGAGAAAGGCCTGGAAGCCAATAGGATCAGTAATTAACCCCTTATAGTACCGCTTAAGGGATCCTATAGGTCCTATAGGATCGAGTAGGCTAGAAGGGTAGAGGGTAGGCCATTAATACCTCCTTATTAGGGTTTTTTAGTAATAGACTAGATGGTCTACCGCCTTTACCTCCCCGTAGGAGTAGGTAAGCAGTGCTTGTGTATGGTTAAAGCGTTGGTGGTATTGTTCGAAGTCTCTATAGCCTGATCGGGCTACTAAGAGATGATAAAGGATAGCCCGCGGTAAGGCTAGTTCGGGGCCGTAAGCGAGGGTAGCCTTGAGCCCTAGCTGGGTATAATAGGATATTGCCTCCCGTTTCCACCATTTTCTTTATTGGCGACGTGACGTGTACGCTCCTTAGCAAGCCGTTTGATCCCTGATAGAGTTGCTAGCTGTCCCTGTGGAGGCAATACTACTGTATTGGATCTGATGATGATGATGGGAAAAGCTGAGCGCTGGCTGGGCTGGATATCTGGGCAAGGTGTAGGTGGGGCAGCTCCGAGATGTGAAGGAGCTGTCTCACGTGACCCACCTGCACTTGCCACAGTTATCCCATCGAGTGCTGCAAGGCGACAGTACATTGGCTCCACATAACGGGCCCCCTTTTACCCCGCACCGCATCTGGTACATCCACTGCTTGAGTTGCCCCTATGATTTCCACTCCGGTACATCTACCAAATCCATCATTACCAATACTCAATTAATGGATTCTGACGATTCTGACGGATCTGGCCGTTCCACGGGCTCGGCGAAGTCGTGTATCTTTGCCCTGCTGCCCGAGGACCTCGCCGCCGCCTGCACTGCCGACTGTACGCCGGAGCAATGTGATAATGCCACTGTTCGGCCCCGCGAGCCTCCGGAGGTTGAGCCCGGTATCCCTGGGAAGTACACGAGGATGGGCTGCCTCGAGTGCGATGTAGCTCTCTGTAACTCAGAAGATTGCTGGTACCGATTTCATACGCAGAATCTCTAGTAATTGGAAGTATCTATTATCAATTACGTTGGTTGGTTGGAAAAAGGGGCCCGAAGTGGCCCGATTGGCTGCTCCCCCGCATCTCAATGTACTGTCGCCTTGCAGCACTCGATGGGATAGAGTGGCTGTCGGTTACAGTATCGGTTCGAATGATATCCCTGGCATCCAGGGTCATGTCTAATTAGGGTCTTCTTCTTTTGGATAAGCTGAGACCTGCTGCTTTGGTTAAACAGTCTGAAGGGTGGTACTTCCACAGAGAAGGAGATGACCCAGGAGACTTCGTTTATAATAGGGTTTATACCTAGCCGGGATTGCTGGGCCTGGGTAGGCTTACGTCCTGTTTAGGCAAGGACCTTATCTTCTACCAGAATAGCTAGGTCAAGGGCGTCGCCATCAAGAGTCCACATCTTAACAGGGCAATATAGGACGACGTAGGTAAACCACTTAGTAGGGGTCTCAACCTTATAAGCTCCAAGATACTCTGCTAGTTTCTGTTTGTTTGCAAGGAGGGCTTACTGGACCTGCTTATTCAGGGATCTTAGTGGGTAGCTAGTTGCAATATGGTAGATATATGGGATATCTGCCAGCTGGAGCCTAAGGGCCTGGCAGACTGTCCGGCATAGGGCGAAGGGGGCGTGCTTCCTAGCAGCCGCTAGGCCCTCTTCTGGGATACGGGTAAAGACCCGGAGGTCCTCCTTCGGTTGGGATAGAGCCTGGGCCCGGGTCTCCGTCAGACTCTGTGTCTGGACTTCGGGCCGGGTGGGGATTCGGGTACGGGTCGGGGCTATGGCCACGGCTGTAGTTGAAGCCGAGGCTACTATGTCAGTCCATTTCCGGCTCGGAGCCGGAGCCGTAATCTCGTTACCCATAATCCTCTTCAAGGCTTAGATTACATAGGTTGTAGCTTCTTTTGCAATCTGCTTCCTAGGCCCCTCAAAGCAAGAGATCACGTTATCCATAAACTAAGCAATAGCCATAAAGACGTCCTTTCGGGCTTCATAATGCTTAGCCTCTTCATTAAGAGCTGTAAGGACAGCTCCAGTAGCTGTCCCAGTCATAGTCGAGGGCCCCTTAGCCGGTAAGGGGGTTGTTGTTGGGGCGTCGGGCTGGCTTCCCACGAGGCTGGGCTAGGATGGCTAGGCCTCGGTTTCGCGGCGGCGTTTAGCCCTTGAGGATGGGGACGGCTCTAAAGAGGGTCCAGAGCCTCTATCAGGGCCGACCGAGGAGGCCGGCAACGGTCCAGAGCCCGCCGGAGGCTGCGAGGCCATCGCGGGAGGGCGCCGGAGGAGAGGTGAAGGGTTTTCAGCTGATAAGGATTTTGGTGGTAGCCCACTTATTACACTAACAGTAGATGCCAAGAAAAATTAGGCGAGAGGGAAGTCAGGTGACAGTTTTATTGTTGGAACAGCAAAGGCTGATGTCAGGCCCATCCCAGTACACTCGTTACAACGATTGTCACACTATGCCTATGAAACAATATGGTCTTACACAAGCATGACTAAGTTTGCCAAGGATATGCCAGTATAAAGGGTCTTCCACTCACTATATAGATAGTCGGGATATTCCCATAGCCACTCGTTCTTCATACTCATCAATACATCCCATTGACCCCCTACCTGATAATCGCTGCCCAACAAGGAGTAATAGGCAGGTACCATGGGCTGGCTGGCACCTGCCCTGGGCGAAGGGGGACAACTGGCTTAGTCATCACGGCCGGATAAAGGTGGGGCAACCACCCAGGCCGTCACTACCTACTTCGACCGACTCCTGCCTACAATGTAAGATAGAAAAACAAGACGAACAAGCAATAGGATCACCAACAGACGAGTGATAATTGCTACCACTATTTGTCGTATACGACCCCGTGAACCAAAATTTATGTACTAGAGTCTCAGTCAAGCTCCTACATGGTGAATCTCGTCCAGCACTCAGCAGATCATGAGCACGGCCTTTTCGGGCTTCAATTCTATATCAATCAATGGCTCGTGTGATATTGGCTGCTGGCATAGTTAATGACCTCGAGGTCGTTAATCACGAGGGCGGATATGACAATTGAATGATGTTTGGATGGACATTGCGATCCTCGGAACCAAGGGGGCCTCCAAGACTTCAGCTACCGTAACATAAGTCCCTAACTTCGTCGTACATGCTCCCTTTAAAAGAACAAAGACAAGAAAGAGCGATCAATTCACCACATATCCAAGCTCGATAAATGGCTCGGGCGAAAGTTCAACCATGCTTGCTCATAAGCCGCCTTCGAAAGCCCATTCCGGCTCATCTGGAATGACATCGGGAGCAGTATGAAAACGGATTGCCATCATCTCATGCTCGGTACATTCAATTACATTTCCCCCAAATCTGTGGCAGCCAAGCTGGCCTCCTCTATTGTCCATCCACTCATCTATTTCCCCAGTTGTTGAGTGAATGCTCTAGACCCAGCAAACAGTAGACGGAATTCGGGACGGAGAACTTACTCAAATTGATGACGGACTTCACCGATCCCTTGGGACCCGTGCATTCACATGACATGTTTGTGCCGACGTTCTCATACTTGCAATCCGCACAGGACTTGAAGAATGCACCGCTTTGAGAAAAGTCAGCCGAACGAACTGCCGTGCCCCCAAACAACTTCAAAAAGGGAACATGGAACTTCTTACTATCTCCGGTAGACGATCTCTCCGTGAGCGTTTGCGAAACAGGCGGTCAGGGGCATCCAGGAGCACTTTTGTCCTCCGTTGCCATCGCCGCACTTGGCCACAAGATAGGGGGTCGAATCCGTTCTCTTGTCGCCTTCTTCTACGAGGTCTCTCGGGTCGAAGAAGCGAACGTCTGAGCAAGAGGCCCTGAAATTAGCTGGTATCCTCTTCTTTGCTCGGGTTTGGATGACGTCGAGAGCCGTAGAGGACTCGTGTGGTGCTGCGATAATCCCGGAAGCCATCATCAGTATGGCGAGGAAGAAAAGGAAGATCATGATGAGTGTTAAGGCAGGTATCGGCGACGGGGGGAACTAAAGTCAAGAATTTGGAAAGACAGAAGATGTTCAGTAGAGACTGGAGTTGGTCTAGACTCTAGAGTGATCAGTGTTCTGAGGAGAGGTCCCGAAGGCAGGATTTAAATCATGTTGGCTTAGGCAAGGGTACTCGAAGAACACACAAAATCTTCCCTGGCCGGACAAACGTTTGATGGAGGCATTTGAAACGCACAGTCTTTGCCCGATGCCAAGCTCTGAATAGGTTGAAGATAGACGAGCAAAGAACTACCCTCAATCGCTCTAACGCAAAATGACAGCAGTGACATTCTCGGTTAAGTATGGACCTATTACACTGGAATTCAAACGACCATAGGAAGTTTCAATGTCAAACACCTTATGAGTATTAAGCGCTCGTTCCGAAGCGATTTGGGTCTTCTGGCCACGGATAGACGTCTGCAGACAAACTTGATTGCCTTGTGTCCGTAGATTACTCTTGCGACTCTTTGGCCAATTGTACAAGAGAGATATGCATTCGTTCTTGGGATACCGGGAACGTATTCTACATGGAAAGTTACAAGTATCTTAGTGACCAGTCTGGGAGTCGTAAGGGAGAGGTCTCGCGGTGCGGTGTCTCCGATGGCATGTTCCGATTGTGTGGTGTAGACGTGGACTTGTTGTGAACAAAGGGCGATGAATACTGACACCCCTCCCTTTAAGTCGCAAAAGAACCCCAAGCCTCTTGGCAACGACATTGAAAAAACCGGCCTTCTCCCTGACTTGTTCTACAAAGCCTTGTGAACAAGACAGGCAAGCCGGCCGAGCTTCTCGTAGCCATCGGAGCACTGATTTATCGCCACGGCGCTGTCCCTGGAGAACAGTTCGCCGTTGCTGCGAATACTAGACTTGGCCTCGCTGAACTGACACGGATCTTGTGAGAAAGAAAAGCTCAAAGGCATCGCTAGTCTGTCCCCGGATCATCGAAGTGGTATGATCTACCTTGAAACATCACCGGTAACCGGCAATGTCCCGGGTCCGAAAGATTACATGTTCTATCGGCCGAAGAGACACGCAAAAAGAGTTTTGATGCAAGTCAAGTCTGATTCTTATTTGAGCCATTACTCAGGAAACATTTTGACAACTTCTTGGCATCTCGCTGACAACAGGGCCACCCCGACAAGTCGGAGCCGAACCGGGCTCTGTGGGGCAAGGCACGATGGCGACTGGCCGGGCGGATCTCACGTCATTCAAAAACCGAAAAGACTTTTTGGAGCGGCACCCAATTTAGCCGCCGGTAGTTCTGGTCATTTGTCGGCGGAAGCCCGACATCACGTAAAACTCAGTGTCCGCACTCGGACGAGGTGCCACGGCCTTGGAACGACCGGCAGACCATGACCTTGCCTTCACCGATACCGAGGGCTTGGCTGCCTTAAGCCAGTGGGCTTTTGCCGGAATTAAGACATGACCCCTAGTAGGCTAAACATGTCGAATTTTGTCACTAAACATGTCGAATAAGACATGACCCCGTTGACGTGATAAGAGAGGATTTGCGGGCCTGGATAGCGCATCTTGAGAGATAAACTTGCATGGGTGATATAAGGAACCGAGAGAAGCCTGTGAGATATGAAATCCTCTGCGGAACTTGGTTTCTCGACTACCCCCTCGCTTCTGTCAATATGGCAGATTTCGGGAAAAACGCGACTGTTTCAAAAGACTCTACGGTTGTTACTGCGACTGCGTTGGATACAGACGTTCCCTCGGCCGTAAGCCGTGCAGCCGGTGCTTCGAACGAGGCACCTCCGATCCTGGAGGACGACAAGTCGGATGACGGTTTGAAGACGAATGATCCTGAGCGAAATGAAACAGATGACGAAAGAAAGCTTGTCAACGGCGGGCCTTTGTCTAAAATGCAGAGTGCTGAACATAGGCTGACTTTTGAAGGCAACGATGTCGCCAGATACGTCGTCAGTACCCAAGACGATGGTGATGCATCTTGCACTTTTAGATCTTTCATCATTGGCTCTGGTATGGTTCTTCATGTTGCAGTGATTCTAGACGATTGAAGCTCCCATGAGCTAATTTCGTACAGGCCTCACCGCCCTTGCGGCCTGCATCGATCAAATGTGACAAGAACCCGAGCCAATTCCCGATGTTTCGCGCTGACAAAACTATGCGCAGTTACTTTTACAAGCCCGTCGATGTCTCTTTTGCTTCGGTGTAAGCTGCTTTATTCTACAGTCAGATCCATGACCATAGACTGTCGATTTGTTCAGGTTCCTTTGCTTGATAGCATATGTGATCGGAGTTGCTTGGTCAGTTGTGCTCCCTCGACGGCAGCATGTTGAGAAGTACCTACCATCGCAAGCAAAATGGCTAGGACCAGTCGTTCACTTTATCAACCCTGGTCACTTTGGCCTGAAGGAACATGCCGTCGCATCAATTCTTTCCACATCAAGCGGAAATGGCGCTGCAATCGTGCAAGTCTTTGGCGCAGAACGGCTGTGAGTGTGGAATCGAATCTCCATCTAGCTCGATATTGACCGATGATCAGGTTTTACAACCGCACCACAGATCCTGCCACGGCGGTTTTAACAGTTTTCTCGGCATCGATCTTCGGGTACGGCCTCGTAGGCATTCTGCGATCCATCATTGTCCACCGTCAGTCACTTTCGGAGGTTATATCAAGCCACTAGAGAAGGAAACTTTTGGTATCACAGGCGTGATACATTTCCTCATGAGGGTGTATCTTCGGCAACAATCACGTCGATGTCCGTGATAATTGCTGTTGTTCTTCTTCCTATTTACATTGTGGGCAGGGGCCGATCGAAGTAGGTGGGGACGGCCTGTGTGGTTGCCCCACCTTAACCGGCCGTGATGACTAAGCCGGCTGTCCCACTTCGCCCAGGGCAGGCGCCAGCCAGCCCACGATACCTGCCTATTGCTCCTTATCAGCCTTGCCGTTCCGACAGAAACATATACTGACCAAAGGCAGCGAGTGAAATGGTCTGGTGGCAATGCCTCCCCACGATCTCCATCTGTCAGACTCTCCACCGCGAGCCCGAAGGCAACAACAAAGACAGGCTCCGAATGTTCGGCTTCACCTCCATCGGCATGTTCATATGGGAGCCCATAGCATCCTACATCTGGCCTTGGCTGAATGGCATCTCCATCCCCTGTCTCGCCTCCATGAAGGCCGCGCCGCCAACTCGGAAGGTCCTGATGACAATCTTTGACGGTATAAACTCCAACGAGGGCCAGGGCATCTTCAACTTTTCCCTGGACTGGCAGTATATCACGTCGCGGTACATGTCCTTGCCGCTCCTGCAACAAGCCAACTCCTGGGTGGGCATCGTGCTCTCCTACATCATGTGCTTCAGTCTCTACTATGGCGGGGCATGGGGCGCAAAAAAGTTCCCGTTCATGTCGACGGCCATGTTTGACGGGAAGACTGGCAAGGTCTACAACCAGACGGCCGTGTTTGGGCAAAACGCAATCCTGGACACCGAGGCGTTGGCAGTACATGGATTTCCTCGGATGACGGCGTCCAACGTCTGGGCAAATATGGCGGCGATGGCTGCTATAGGAGCGCTGCTCACTCACATAGCTCTGTTTTACGGACCGCTGTAAGTTCGCAAATCAATCTGGGTTTTGCAGGAGCATTTCTGACCTAAGTAGCATTAAGCGATCGTTGAAATAAGCTTGGAAGAAGGAGGAGACAGATATCCACTACAAAATCATGCAAGAAAACTACAAAGACGTGCCTATCTGGTGGTATGTCGCCATCCTTCTTGTTGGCTTCTTCACTGGCCTTGGAGCTGTCATCAAGGGCCACACCACCCTTGATGCCTGGGCATACGTTTGCGCTATTGTGAGTTTACCTTATCTCTTGAAGACTTTTCAGCAGAATACTAAACATTAATTCAGCTGCTCGGATGCATTGTTGCACCATTTTCACTATGCTTGTATGGCTTGCTCGGCACCAGCGTCGCCACGAACAACCTTTCTAAGATGCTGTGGCGTAGTTCAACCCGGAAAACCCGTTGCCAACCTCTACTTCTCGATGTTTAGTCATGAGGTTACTGTCCTCTCCGTGTTCTTGTCAACTGACCTCAAGATGGCTCAATATCTCAAGATTCCGTGGAGGACCATGTTCATCCTGCAAACTTGGGGGAGTTTGTTTGGAACAGCCTTGAATTACGTTATAATGGACACAATTGTGGCGAATCGTCGAGAGATTCTTCTTGACCCAATCGGCACCCAAGTTGTAAGTTGCCTTGAACTGAAATCCCAGTCATCAGATCTAACCCAAGACCAGTGGAGCGGACGCAAGATCCAGTCTCTGAACACAACTGTAGTCACTTGGTCGCTTGCCAAGTACGTCTATGGATTTGGTAAAGATGGTTACGGGTGGTGAGTATCTCTCAGAAACTTTCAGGTCTTTTTACATCTTTTGACATTGAACTGCTTCTAGGATCCCTCTCTCTATCGTCGTTGGGGCTGCTATTCCCGTTGCCCTGTGGCTCGTATCCATGAAGTACAAGACCATTTATGGCTGGGAAGTGAGCAAGTTTATTACCCCTGTCGTATTCCACAATGCCTCGGAGACAACATCCGGAACTACTTCTGTCATCTGGTCTCAAGTCGTGGTCGGCTTGTGGTCTCAGTGGTATATGCGTTTGCGCCATCCTGCTTGGTTTGGCAAGTACAACTACATCATCGGCGGTGGCCTCGATGCAGGTGCCAAGGTCATGATGTTCATCTTGACATTTGCCGTTGCCGGCGGTTCAGGCAAAGAGGTGCCTTTTCTTACGGTAAGCAGTCTATAACTGAACATAGGTCTGAAGATGCAGCTGACATGTTTGCAGTGGTGGGGTAACCCGGAATCTAGTTCAAAGCAGTATGCTGATTACTGCGGTACTGGTTAGAGTCCATACCTGTGGTCTTGCTGTATTGACTCCAGGATCAGAGTATCGGCGAAGCCTCGGGAGAAGCTGGTCTGACATGTCGATATGACAACTAAGTACCTTAGTTAATGGGTTTATCTAGGATCAGCTTAAACATAAATCGCAGCTGCAACGTCACCAGAATTTCATATGAATGGTCGTGGAAAAGTAGACATGATATTAATGGCTAAATTTACAAAGGCTCCAGTGTTCCTTGACCGCTAATGGGTTGAGGCACTGCATCTCTCGCCAGCTTCTCCCACACCTTTAACCGGCGCTGATCGACCCAGTTTCCGTGGACCTGTGCTTTGACGTGGAATGGCAACTGGATGACTGCAATAGGATTTTCAAAGTTCTTCGTGTCCAGTACCACAATCTCGTTTCTGTTAGCACCTCTGCGCTCGACCATGGTCATAAGTCAAACCCCCCACTTCCTGGCACCCCCCTGTTTCTGGCACCCACAAAAACGCGAAAATCCACCACAACCCAATGCCCACCCCCAACCTCCTTTTATCACAACATTTTCAATTCGCGTCCAAATGGGCTCATCTTTTGCACATACCTTCTTCTATATCTAATGCCTCAATATACCGAAGATCAGCTTCGTCAGGCTCTCGAGGACATCTCAAACGGCAAGAGTCAAAAGAGAGCCTCATTGGAGTATGGGATACCACGATCAACCCTCCAACTACGTCTCCAAGGTGGTCAGACTAGGAAAGTGGCTTTTGCTGACTGGCAGAGGCTGTCTCCTGATCAGGAGAGTAAGCTGGCACAATGGGTTCGCATTCAGGCTTCGCTGGGCCTCGCACCAACGCACCAACAGGTGAAGGAATTCGCAGAGCGAGTTCTGGCTGCTGCTGGGGATACCAAACCACTGGGAAAAGGCTGGATCTATGCCTTTGTGAGAAGGAACCCTATCATTAAGGTTCAGAGAAGTCGTTCTATCGATTCTAGACGCGTTAATGGGGCATCTACTGAGGTCATTAGGAACTGGTTTAAGTTCCTCGCTATCCCTGAGATCAAGGACATCAAACCAGCCAACAGATATAATATGGATGAGACTGGCATCCTCGAGGGTCAGGGAGCTAATGGGTTAGTGCTGGGTATGGCTGAGACGACGTCTGTTCGCAAGAAACAACCTGGGTCGAGGGCATGGTTCTCTATCATTGAGTGTATCTCAGCCTTGGGTAGGGCACTTCGTCCTCTTATCATTTTCAAGGGGAAGACAGTCCAACAGCAGTGGTTTCCATTACATCTCGTTCTGTTGGATTCACAGGTGGAAAAGGAAAATACTCGAGTATCGTGGGTAGCAACGATCACCGACTGTAGTGGTGATATTGCTTGTTCTTGTTGTTCTTTAGTGGAAGTCTAACCAGGTGCCAGCGGCGGCAGGAAGTCTGGGGTATACCACCCTCGTGTGGCTGAGCCACACGGACCACCGTGGCTGGAACGGACCGCGGCAGCAACCTCCTGCTGCCTAATGTAGGCCTATTCCAACACGTTCCATACGATGGGTGGGAGTTCAAAGCAACAGATAATGGCTGGACTACAGACTTAACTGCCATTGAATGGTTAGAGAAGGTGTTCATCCCACAGACTATGCCTGAGGCTGAGGGGGAGGCTCGACTGCTGATTGTGGATGGGCATGGGAGTCATACGACGACAGACTTCATGTGGAATTGCTATATTAACAATATCCATTTACTGTTCTTACCACCACACTCCTCTCATGTCCTCCAGCCTCTTGACCAGTCTGTCTTCAGCCCTGTTAAGTCAGCCTATCGGAAGGAGCTCGGTTACTTGTCTCAATGGAACGACTCTACCATTATAGGTAAAAGGAACTTCCTGGACTGTTACCAGAAGGCTCGACTTGCTGGTCTATCAGTCTCGAACATCAGAAGTGGTTGGAAGTGGACTGGTCTACACCCTGTGGCGATGGTTAAGCCCCTGATGAACCCTATGGTACTACCTGAGCCTCCTGCTAAGCCCACCACACCCAAACCAACTAGTCAGGGCAGAAAGCGATGCCATAATGGTCAACAAACTACCCCTGTTGAGCCATGGGATTCTGCCTCCTCTGCAGTGGTCTGGTCGACACCCAGGAAGCTGGCAGAGCTCAGCGGTCAACTGCACTTATACACCCAACTCGACAATGATACCAGCACTCAACGGCTGCTATTCAGGAAGGTGAAAAAAGGCTTCACAGAGCAGGCCTGGCAACTGGCAGCTGCCCAGCAGCAACTAGCTCACCTGAGGGCTCAAGTTACCAACGCTGCAGTGAGGAAGAGGAAGACTGTTCAAATCGATCCCAACACGAAGTTCGCGAACATCAGGGATATCCATCGGGCTCAAATCGAAGCGGGTGAAAAGGAGGTTATCACGGCTGAATCCAGCGACTCTGAATGCCCTAGTGAGGCTGGCAGCTGTATTGTAGTGGGTGTGGTTGAGGATCAATAGTTAATAGTAATGAGGAGGTCGGGTTGTGATCCCATCGTTTTTGTGGTGCCAGAAACAGGGGGGTGCCAGGAAGTGGGGGGTTTGACTTAACCCATCCGTCTCCTTCCGGCGCGTCATCACTTCGTGGTATGAAGATCGGCTCCTGACAGAATGACTCAGTTCCGGCGTTGAAGCACTGGGTTTCCTTCGTCTTTGAGTTATGCATAGCTAGGCCATTGAGTCCGTTGACAATGGTGTGGCCATCTCCGTTCTGGTCTTCGTGGATGTAAACATTGATCCAGACGTAATTGTAAGGCTTCGACAGGAAACGCTCATCAAGCCGAGGAAACTCTGCGGGCATGTCGAGAATTATCTCCGGATCTGGAACCTTGTTGTTTGTAGGCTGGGAGAGATCAAAAGTCCAACGGACGTAGTCGGACTTGGGATCAGGGGCGGGATACACCCCTTCATTTGGAGGAAAAAATGGAAAGCCATTGTCGTGCACCCGAGTCGTTTCCATGAACAGCGTCTCCCCATCCTCGCTCTCCCACGCACCACCCGTGTGAATGAGCATACAGTTCTTCCACGAGTACACTCGACTCTCGCCCGGCTGCCAGCCAGGTGGAAGCTTGGTCGAACTCCGACGGGGAGCAACAATGAAGGTGGCAGGAAGATCATAGTCCCAGGCCCAGTGGTGTCCTCCCTTCTTCATCCGCTCTACGCTGGCTTCGAATGGCCAGAGTGCTAGGATGATCCAGTTTGGCGTGATGGCACAGTCGTGTATCGGTGCACACCACGGCGACTTGATCCACTGCTCGTCATGCTTCACACCCTGACTATCCAGCGCGTATATGACAATGTCCAGCGACGCCAGACCTCTGGCCTCGTATCCGAATACTACAAGCTCATTCGTGTACGGATCGATCTTGGGATGAGCCGTAAACGTCTTTGCCTTGATTTGCCCAAAGGGATCGTACTTGATGGTCTCCAAGGTCTGCGGGTCCACGGAATAGGGCAAACCTCCTTCTTTCAGGGCGAGAAAGTGATCGACCCATAGCACGATATTGGTGTTAGCCGTGGAATCTACCGCGGCGCGAACACATGGGTGATGCGTGAACGGGTTGCGATACAGGCCGAACAAAGCCTTGTTGGCTTTGCGCTCGAGCTTGTAGCGCTCGGTTTCGACGTAGCGCATCTTCATGTCGACTCTGCCGTCTTTGATACGGAATGCTGAAATGTTACCGTCGCCATCAAGGGGAACGTTGTTGGGATGGGGCGGCACGAAGGGGTCTGTCATGACTCGGTAAAAGGTGCCATCGATCTCCTTTGGGATTTCTCCCAGGACCACCAGGTCGCCAATTTCACCCTCCAGACGGCATGGCAGATTGGATCCGGCGAGATCGTAGGCCTCCGGCCATTTCGTGTTCAGCCCATAATTTGAATTCGCCTTGGAAGAGGTAGAGACCTCAGCCGTCTCGTCGTCTGTTCGACCAGGAGCCATTGCTTTGGATAGTCGAGGGGTTGATGGTAGTAAGTTAGGTCTTGTATGCCGGCGAGGATTGCAGTAATGTAAGAGTTGGTTCTCAGCACGTCCCAGCTACGTCTTATACGAAGAATCATCAGACGATATCTTCCCCAAGACAGTGATGGAACCATTGTCATTGATCTCAACAAAGGGAAAAATGTAACTACCGAAACCTCACTCCTTGCCAAGTCGGAATAGAGTTCACCGGCCCAGACCCTTGCGGCCGGGCCGCGGGTCATTCACGCTATTTCCCCAGAATTCCCCGCATCCAGGGCGGCCGCCTCTGCTTCTAAGCGCCAAAATGGGGCCTCGGTGAGTTGTCGATGTCCTCCATCGGGCACCTTCCACAGAGATGCGTTGTGAATCTAGTTCCAAAATTTTCAATCATGGATGCAATTACTATCCGTCATCTCAATCGACCCGTTAAGGATGGTTCCCATCCTCAAGATCTGTTATCTCGTCCGCCGGTCGTCCGAAGCCACGGGTCCATCCGGCTTGAAACCCCATGTGACACTGACATAGACCCATATGCTGGTGCTGACACTGCCTTTCCTTCGCTTGGGATTGGTCGTTAGCATTACTTTTATTCAGATTGGCTATTTGATCAGAGGAGCAGTTCTTATGCAGCCTACGGATACCACTTGGACTCTACTTAGGTTTCATTGGCGCTACCTCGGGTATGTGGCGGCCACAGACCCGCTTCGGCAGAGTGCCGAGTTTACTGGGTCTGTGCAACGACATATCATCTGGTAATATTCTAGCAATGCGATCCCGAGACGGACACGGGGCAGTGTCCCGGCCCGTCCAATCGTCGATGTGTGCCTCAACCGCAGGATCATGAACAACTTGCAAGTTTCCGCAGCAAATATGCCTGCCGTGGTAGCTCAACCTCCTTTCGCCCGGAGTAGCCCAACATCGTCTTCAATATTTTGCGGCTTCGATAGCGTCCCGGTCTCCAGTGTCGTGTCAACTAGGGGCCTGTTTCTCTGTGCCAAGTGAGACACAAGACATCCATCCGTTCTCTCTCGGGGAGAAACGTTGTCCTCCGTTGCCCTTTCCACATCATGCCTGGATTTATCCGTCCGGCTGTCGAAGATCAACTAGCTTCAAAAAAAAAAAAGATTATAGGAACCCAGGTGGCTTTATTGTGATGAGCCACTTCGAAAGATGCGAGATATTCGCTAGAGTTCGGGGTATCGTATGGAATCAAGGTCTTGATGTCTGGTAAACCGATGATACGGTCAGTCATTTGTTTCAGGAACGATATCATAAGCCGGGCGGTTCTTTCAAATGACTTACATAGCCTGCAGTTCTGCAAATTCAATTCAAACTTTCTCTTGTTCTCCACAGGCTCAATCGGAACCCCTCTGTTCTGCCTGGTGAGAAGCAGCAATTCCTCCGACGGCTCCGGCAATGATACCACCGACGATGAGGATCGCCATTGCCAGCACGAAAATCCAGTATCGCCGGAACCACGATCGTTTGTTCCTGGATGCCATGGGCTCCGTCGAAATAGGAATCGCCACGTATGTGCCGGAAGGCCTGTTGTCGGATCGATCGACTACCGCAATTTCTGGCGGCGCCAACTCCCGCTTCTTCCCGTCTTCAACAAGAGCCGAATGCCCAGACCAGTCGCTGAGTGCCATCTGATCACCTTATAATTACTGTTGAGTTGGATCGGAAAAGTTGGCAAGCAATTGACCCTGAAGCAGTCGAGGGCAGAAGTTCGTTCTTGGCTTCACATTGGACGGCGAATATGAGAAAATCGATGAAGGTCAGCAGAAGATTACCTTTCGAATTGCACCTGGTGCAACAACGCGGAGGCGTGCTGCTTATTTCAAGCGAAGAACGGTTTGTGTCTTTCCACGTGCCCCTTGCACAGAATATGCGCCTGCCCGGAATTCCCGGCTCTTGTACGAGGCAATCAAGAGACAAGTGTATCTAGTTCGCATGGTCAAGCTTGCACGTCGAGCTAGTCAACGGCGAATGGGGTTGACGGTGGGGAGCCCATCGTGGTCGCCAACGCGCGCTAGCTGTGATATTGACAAGTGATAGGCGAATAAGCACGTTGACTCTCTGAAAGGAGTTGGGCATTTGATAGAATCCCGCTGTGGCGGCACGGGTGAATACTCTTCTTACTTGGCGACGGGCAAAAGAAATTACACAAGCCGTGAAGACGTGAACCTCTTTGCTTTTCTCGAAATCACCCCCTGACCCTCTATTGTGTCCAGGTCGATGTAGCCTAAGCTTGCATCAAGCAGGGCATTGAGCGTTCTTCTTTTAGCATCACCCGAAGCTCACGAGTCTGACAGAATACCAGCTCGGTTTGATAGGTGGGATAAGTCTGTAATACAAGGCAAACGGTCTTGATCGTGTCTGTACTTGTATTCGAATTGTATGGTCGAAATTCTGTTTACGCTCTGTGATACTTCAGCGCCGCTGGGATGTCCAATGTCTTAGCCACGGATCATTGGTTCGAATTGGCCGCGTGGATCTGAGACTAGCGCTCCTCGCAAAAGCGAATATGGACGCCTCCACGGAGCAAACTCGTACCACTTTGGAACATCGCTGCGTGTCTTCTCTATCCCTTCGCTCAGGCCTCGTCGGAAAAGCCGGGTTTCTCAAGCCCGAGCAGTGCAAGACAAGTTGCGGTCTTTCCATTCTCACAACGCGACTTTTTCGATGATTTCCTCATGATTTAGGTTTGATCATTATTAACTGTCAAGTACCTTATCGAACAAAGACGCTACAGTCATCTCTGAATGCTGACAATGAGCCTTTTAGTCATTTGACCATGTAATCTAGCAGCATTGGAAGGTCCCTTATTTCCCAGTCCAGCCGACATGCTCGATGATAACAGTTGAGTGGGCAGCATTTGTTCAACTCAGCATACCTCCAGACATGAAGACCTGGCCTATCGAAAACTGTTTCGCATGCTTTTATGGCTTTGTATCCGAAAGTTTGGTGACATTTACGTCTATCGACTTTTGGCAAGATTTTTGAACATTCTTTTGGATCTGACACAATGCTGCTGACCGATGAGAAAGTCTTGGCATGGGGTGAAGGACCTAGATGAGCGAACTCAGCTGTGGCACAGGCTCTTAACCATTTCTACCTGCGGGCAGAGATCAAGACTCTCGGGGTGTAAAAGAAGTCTCCTCAAGGTTGAATCTTTGGCAATTCATAACAGCTCCTGCTGCTGCTTCTGTGAAGGGCCGACGAAGGATCGTCAGGGTCCAATAATCAGCCTCTTAGAACCCACATGACCGCGCACCGTCGCCGCTATGCCGACAAAAATTACTAAAAGCGGGTGGCATATCGACCGTCTCTCGGGCACTAAGCACGGGTGGGAGATATCGCAGTCTGGATCTCCGGTCACGCAATTGCTGGTTGGCAGGGGCTCATCTAGACCCAACCCCGACGGAACACCCCGGTCTCTCGCCAGCTCTCACCACCGCGGCCTCCGTCACCACCAGTGATTGGACCAGCAGCGTGGTAGGAGGCGAGAAATGCAACGTTTGGTCGACCTCTGGTGGATATTGCCCAGACTTTGGCGTCCTTGAACAAATGCACGCTGGGCGCGGTATGCCAATCTTTTTGGATCGCGACATCGAAAATCACTTCATTCGGAAGGATTCGTCCAACTTTTCCTTGGTAACTTGAATCGTATTGATGGTTACCTTTAGCTAATACGGCCGAGCTGGCTGTTTATATAGCCATGAATCAGCACCACGTTTTTGCCAAAAGGCACTCTATCTCGCTCACCAGATCATCTCCACTTTCTTGTGCTCCGCTGGTCTTCAAATTTTGCTTGCTGGCAAATGACACTAAAGCCACGATGGGTGAAGCCACATCAGTGACTTTGTCGACACCCCGGCCAGAGGCCGAGGAATCCATCAACTATGGGCCCCCACAATAAGTCATCTTTAAACACATTTCAAAGTTCATTCCGTACTTCCGCGACCCTAGCAATGTCCTAGTCTTTAAGCTAGATGTCATGTTGCTTGCATGGATGTTCCTGGCAGGCATCATGAAGGAGATGGACCAGTCTGCCACAACCCAAGTCTACGTCTCGGGGATGAGAGAGTCCTTGAGCCTTTACGGTAATGAGCTTGTTGAATTCAATACATTTTTCTCTATTGGATATGCGCTGGGCTTGGTACCTGGACAGTTGATTCAGACGAGGTTCCGGCCTTCAATGTTTCTCCCATTCTGCGAGATGAGTTGGGGACTCCTGGTCCTCTTGTAAATCTCCACCAACGTCGTCCTCAGTAAACACCAACTTACCACTAGCTTAGCACATACAAAGCCCCTAATGCGCAAACCATCTTCGGACTCCGGTTCTTCCTCGGCCTCTTTTCATCCGCCTTTTGGCCCAGTGTCGTCGCCCTTATCTTCAACTGGTATACTCCCGCCGAGCTCGCCGTCCGAGTTGCCTGCTTCACAGTCTGCGATGTCGCCGGCGCGATGTTCCTCGGGGCTCTCCAAGCCGCCCTATTCCGGGATATGAACGGCGTCCACGGGCTCGCTGGCTGGCAATGGCTCTTCATTATCGCCGGTTCCGTCACAGTGGGCCAAGGTCTCATTGCCTTCGTCACCGTGCCCGACTCGCCGGCGAATACACGCGCCATCTATCTCACCGAGAACGAAAAGCGCCTGGCTCGCGAAAGGATGGGTAACTCTGGCGTCAACACATCCAAGCGCATTCCGGCATCGGTGCTCCGCCAAAAGCTGCGAAAGCTCATTGTTCACCCAGTCACATATTTCTGTCTCTTCTCATTTGCCTTTGGGGCTTGGGCTCATCGGGCGAATTCGTATTTTGTGTTGTACCTCGAAAGCATCAAGGACTCAGCTGGCAACCGCGTTTACGACACGTATCGAGTCAACATCCTACCCCTGGGCGGGTACGCCTTGCAGATTGTCACCAATATTGGTCTCAACTGGCTTTCCGACTGGAAGCGTTGGCGTTGGCAGATAAGCGTCTTCTCTGCCGCTGCTCACGGCATCTGTCTGGCCGTTCTGTGCGGATGGCCATCTAACCATAAAGTTATTCTCGCTTTTACTTTCTCACGTATGGCACCAAAGCTGGTAGCCCGTCACTCATGGCATGGATGGCCGAGATTTTACGCAAAGAGCCTGAGGCTCGATCAATCATCGTGGCATTGACTGTCACCGTTGTCTACGTTGGCCACGCGACTATACCCCTTGGAGCGTTCCGTGTTGCAGACGCTCCGAGGTATCCCATTGGTTTCCCTCTGACAACTGCGTTCACTGTAGCAACAATCTTGGTTCAGCTGGGTATGTTATGGTGGTATAGGCGGCACCCGGAGATGGCCGAGTACGGGTACGAGCCTGCCATCAGTGCCCAGGGTTTGTCGGACGAGGAGAACGCTAAGATTACCGAATAGGAGTCTCCGGTCAGTGGATTGAACGACAAGTCAGCTCAGATCTCGGGGACGAAGGAGCTATAATTCCTAGTAGGCTAAACATGTCGAATTTTGTCCTCATTCTGCCGAGAATTGACTAAATTCCAACTTGCTACCCAAACAGTTGAAACCACCGTGGACTATGTGGCACTCCATTACTACCTTGGGTTTATTCCGTTTATTCCATTTTCACTCAGCCTCAATGCCTACATCATAATAGTGCTTCAATCTGTCACCAAGGTCCGTTGTGTCTCGGAAAATAGCAGCGTATCTGAACGAAATGCTCCTCACGCATGGGTCCCAGGTCCGGGTCCTGTCTACCTTTTATAAAATCCTTCCATCGTTACGCCTGAGGCTGGTAAGAGTCTCCTCGGATCTTTCGTAGGCTCCCTATATAGGGTGCCGAGGTTTTTGCATCTAGACGATTGAACCATCAGGACAATCGCACGTGTATGAAGTTCACCCTCCACTTCTACATACATAAACTCTATCATCCGAGCCGAGGATCTGAGGAGGTCAAGCATGCGATTGCGACAACGACCAAAATGATGAACATCACCCAAGCACACAGCTCCGCACTTTCCGACACGTGGTAAGAGGGATCAGGTGAGGAAGTGAAAGTTCTCTGGCCGACCTCAATATCCGCAGGAAGTAATCTGTATCTGTGGACGGTTCCTTCAGTATCGATGAGGTAGAGCTGCGGAGAGTTCACACTAGAGGGCCCTGCGGCCCAGCTTTGTCGGAATGAATTCGTGCGTCCCCGCGAGGATCTTTTCTTTTGGGTAGGTAAAGTTCCATAGGTTGATGTGGGAGCAGAAGGTGCTTCGGAATTTTGTGGACAGTCCAGTAAAGTCGAGCATGAATCACCATCTGAGTCAGAGGTATCAGACATTGTTGCGTCCAAATCGTTACAATCGTTGATCGGCTGTGAATTGGGCACGCGGTCTTCCCATAAACAAATTTAGATACCGGGTAATGGAGTTCAGTGTTCGAGTAACCATCCTGGTGTGGTAATGAAGGGGAAACCGGCTTCATATGAGGCCGCTTGCTCAAATGATTTCCAGGTTCCCTCAAGGGTGGTTACACAGAGGACAATCAACAGCAGGTTCATGGTCGCACAAAATGCAGCCACTTGTGTGATAACAACGCAAACAGACATGGGTTCTTGCATGTTAATTTCATGTCACACCGAAGGAGCCTGGTTCGTGCCTCGAGCCCTTCCTGCACGCGAGAAGACGTAGATTTGAAACATCTCTCAGTCATTGTTCTACTTGCTTGGGATTCAGAATCTATTACTAGCAGGCACTCAGGGGGGTGAAAGATCCACAACGCACGAGTATCGCAGCAACTTAATTGCTCTGAAGTAGATAATAGAGGTACTATTCTATATTAATCGGTCCAAAACCAGTGCTGGCTATCGTCTCTGCCTTTACGTGTTTTTGGTGCGCGATGTGGTCAGTGGTTGCGTTGAGCCACGACGCGTGGTTTCCGTGGCCCTACGACCTTCGTAAACACAGGCGCATGATTATGGAAGAGAGAAGATAGTAATCTGTAATTAAGATTGTCAGTATTTCGTTATTCTTCTGGGTGCCTACTGGTAGTGGATACCACGGATTGAGCATTGCCGTGGCATCACGGCATGGGAAGGAAGAAAGCTCTGGTCAAGAGGCCTACCATAACGAAGACGAGAACTACCAACATTAACGTAAAGAATATGGTATATTCTGCGCTCCTGATTTCAGAAGAATCTTCCATCGATTCAATTATGGAGACAATAGAACCTTCAAAATAGCGTGGATGGATATGGCGCCTCGGGACGTGGAACTGATGGCTCGATTGATTCCTGGAATCTTCGATGCATTCTAGACCGTACCTCGGATCTTCGACCTCTTGACCTGGTTCGACTTCTTCGGGAACGAGACGGTATTTCCTAGAGTTCCCTTGGCTGTCAACTAGATAGAGCTCGGGAATATCGGCAATCGGGCTGGCTTGCTGCTGGTATTGAACTCGCTGGCTTTGTTTTTTTCGACTAGGAGCAGATTGGTTGCCTGTTGAAGCGAGAGAAAAACGGCCCGTCAGGGCATCCCGATCAGAGCCGTCATTCCAGTCCAACAAGGTAGACATGTCGGAATCATCGTTAGTATCTGCGTGTGATTGACAGTCGGTTCCTGACTGATCGCCGAAGTCTGAACCGTCATCATCATCATCATGATCCGATGAGTCTGACATCCTTAAGGAGGATGGTCGTTGAGGGGCCAAAGAATCGTACGCGTTGCAAAAAGGGACAGAGTAAGGGAAATACTCGCTCTGAAAGGGGACTTAAATAATGACGAACTTCTAGACGAGGGGACGGAGGTAATTATTCGATGGAGGCAACTTCGGGAACTGATAAATGTGACAATTGGTGGCTTGCTGATTGTCTAACAGACTCGACGTTTCAACTCATGCAGCTGTCCGTGGAATTACTACAATATTAAAGTGCTAAGTGGCAAACACTAAGCACCTGCATTTGAACTTCGATTCATCAAATCCATATTGGGGGGAGGGTCCGTAGACACACACAGCCGCCGGGTGATGAAGATTGCAACTTTGCCAATGTCAACCTCGCTGGACGTTATTGCAGCAGCGAGTTGACGAGTTTTCTTATTGTTGGGCAGCGATTATCAGGTAGGGGGTCAATGGGATGTATTGATGAGTATGAAGAACGAGTGGCTATGGGAATATCCCGACTATCTATATAGTGAGTGGAAGACCCTTTATACTGGCATATCCTTGGCAAACTTAGTCATGCTTGTGTAAGACCATATTGTTTCATAGGCATGGTGTGACAATCGTTGTAACGAGTGTACTGGGATGGGCCTGACACTTATCAAAAATCCTCTTACCTTGTTCCATTTGTACTACTCTCCATGGTGTTCAATAATGGCTGAAAGATCATCTGAAATGATAACTCATTCTGTTGGTATCACAGGCGTGATAAATTTCCTCATGAGGGTGTATCTCCGGCAGCAATCACGTCGATGTCCGTGATAATTGCTGTTGTTCTTCTTCCTATTTACATTGTGGGCAGGGGCCGATCGAAGTAGGTGGGGACGGCCTGTGTGGTTGCCCCACCTTAACCGGCCGTGATGACTAAGCCGGCTGTCCCACTTCGCCCAGGGCAGGCGCCAGCCAGCCCACGATACCTGCCCATTGCTCCTTATCACCCTTGCCGTTCCGACACATTCCATTCCAGTAAAGGCGCTTCACTCCCTTGTCATGAGACCTTGCTTACAAAAGGTACTCCAGGGTCGATTTCCCATGACATACAGATGGATAAAAGTACGGCCGTATCGTGAATTCGAATTCATCACCGCTCCTCCGGTGATATAAATCCCCGCATTTTCGCAGAGCGGAGTCAGCGCCTGGTCCCGGGACTGGATCGGATGTGGAATTTGCGGGGCCCCGTAGACTCCGGAAGTCTCCGGACAGGGTTCCGGCTGCTGCGGGTTTAGCCTAAATGCGCCGATTGCACCGAAGTTAACGAATCAAGGCAACTTTTGCTCACGCGTGACAGGAGACTCCGTCGCGTTTACCGACGATACTCCGAGACGGCCCGCTCATCCTACGGGGAAGGACAGTATTTCGGTGGTTTTTATGCTTCGGACTCCGGTCTGTGCCGACCGAAATCCTAGATGACACCGCATAACATTGACCGGAAAGCCACTTGAAGTTTGGCTTCAATCCGTGACTACCGGACTTCCCAATTTCTCCCCTGTCTCTCGGCATTTGAACCAACCCAACCAGATCATCAAGATGGCGGCCGAATTCACACCCCTCGACGTCGAGGCGTTGATCAAGCAACTTACCTGGGACGAGAAGATCGAACTGCTCGCTGGTCAGGGATCTTTCCGAACGACCGGTCTACCTCATCGTCAAATTCCAGATCTCATTGTAAGTTAACGTTCTAGTGAGAACAAGTACATCTTACTAACCTCCCGCGCAGACCTCAGACGGACCTCACGGTATTCGAGGGCGTCGATCATTTGCACGTGTCAGTTTACCTTCTCATTTGGTCAAGGGGATAGGAAGTCTTCTAGTGTTACCATGCGCTTTAGGCTGCAATCACAGTGCTGATAAATGCTTTCAATCTTCAGAACCCGAGCCCTATGCTACCCTCCGCCACTGGTATGGGCGCAACCTTCAACGCCGAATTATTGCACAAGGTCGGCAATCTTCTTGGAGAGGAATCAAGAGCTAGAGGAGTCCATGTGTTGCTGGCGCCTACTATCTGCCTTCAACGCTCGCCATTGTTTGGACGAGGATTCGAAGCGTTCGCCGAAGATCCCTTCCTGAGCGGCATCCTCGGAGCGGCCTACATCAATGGCGTGCAAGAGAGAGGTGTAGCAACCAGCGTCAAGCATTATGCTGCACACGACCAGTCAGATAATTCCATCGAAGACAACGTGTGCATGACGCAGCGGACCCTGAGAGAAATCCATTTAATGCCATTCCAACTCGTCATGCGCGACTCTGACCCCTGGACCTTTATGACCTCTTACAATAAGATCAACGGGATCCACGTTAGCGAGGACCCTTTGCTCCTGAAGCAGGTTCTTCGAGATGAATGGGGCTTCAAGGGACTCGTCATGAGCGACTGGTTTGGTACTTACAGCACCTCTGAAGCCATCAACGCCGGGCTGGACTTGGAGATGCCTGGGCCCACGCAGTGGAGAGGTAAGTGTCTGAGTCTAGCTGTCAACAGCCGCAAAGTCGCGCGTACGACAGTCGACGAGGCTGTCAGGAATATTCTCAATCTGGTGAACAAGGTCAAGAATACGAAACCGGCTGGCTATTTCGCGGCGTCGAATACACCCGAGCAGCAAGCTCTGATTCGCCAGCTGGTAGCTGAGAGTATCGTCCTGCTCAATAATGAACGCAAGGTGCTACCCATTAAGAAATCAGAGGGGAAGAAAATTGGATTGATTGGCGATCACGTCAAGAATCCTGCCTTGAGCGGCGGTGGCAGTGCGGAAGTTGAGCCGTACTATTTCGTGACACCCTATGATGCCATTATTGAGGCCGCTGGAAAGAAGAATGTGTCGTATGCGCTTGGCTGTCATTGTAAGATTCCCTCCAAGGTGTTTGGAGCTATCATTGACATAATTCACAGCCTTCAGGTTCAGCCCACTGTTGAAGAACATAGCGCCTCAGCAATCGCAACACAAAGGCTTTGGGTGGTCAGTCGAGATCTTTGAAGACAACCCAGACGAGAATCCCGACGCAGAAGTGCTTGTAACGGCCCATGCCCAGAAAGAGCTCATCGATGTCCCAGAGAGTTTCCACGCATCACTTCCGAAGAAATTCTACGTCAGAGCCCGGGCGACCTACATGCCTTCTGTCACAGGCCCCTTTAAATTCGGCTTCAGTACATCGGGTAAGGGCAAGCTAAGGGTAGATGGGAAAGAGCTCATCGATTTATGGAGTGACCAGCCTCCAAAGACCGGGCCTACGCCGTGCTTCAACAGGCTTTCCATGGAGAAATTTTGCAATACGGACGTGGTTGAAGGCCGGACTCTCGAACTTGAAGTTGTCCAAGTCAACGAAGATCTTTCAGGGGGCGTTGGTACCGCATTGACTCTTGCAGGACGCGTCGGTGGATTCGAGCTCATTGACGAGGAGGTTGCCATCAAAGAAGCTGTGGACTTGGCCAAGAGTGTCGATATTCCAATTGTTGTTACTGGACTGTCATCAGATTTCGAGTACGAAGGGGCCGACCGCAAACATCTCAGACTGCCGGGCCGCGTGGACGATCTGATCGAAGCTGTGCTTCAAGCCAATCCAAACGCCGTGAGTGGTCTTTAATCCCATGAAATGCAAACGAGCCGGTATGAGTCGCTTGTTTCGATGTTAATCAATTTTCACAGGTCATTGTCACCCAGTCAGGCTGCCCAATCGAGATGCCGTGGGAGTCGAAGGTAGCTACCTTGGTCCATGCTTGGTTCGGCGGTCAGGAGACAGGCCACGGCCTCGCAGACGTTCTGTTTGGCAAAGCCAATCCCTCCGGCCGCCTATCTCAGACATTCCCCGTGTCCGTTAAGCATACTCCGGCTTACCTCTCATTCTCAAAGTCCGACTATGACATTGTTTACGGCGAGGGGGTCTTCATCGGCCACCGCTACTACGAATCAGTCGACAGAGACCCACTCTTCTACTTTGGTCAAGGCCTGTCCTACTCAACGTTCGAGTACTCGAAGCTCCAAGTGCCAAAGACATTTGAGGCGACGGAAGATCACAAGATGAAGGTCTTGGTTGACGTGAAAAACACGGGTCCTTACGACGGATCAGAGGTCGTTCAGGTCTATGTCCACGACCCGGAGAGTACGATGTTGAGACCTGTCCGAGAGCTCAAGGGGTTTGCCAAACCCTTCCTGGCTGTGAATGAGAACCAGACTGTTGAAGTCGTGCTCGATAAGTACTCGCTATCATACTGGTCACAGGAGAGATCTAAGTGGATTGCAGAAGCCGGAGATTATGTTGTCATTATTGCTTCGAGCTCCAAGCCGCAGGACGAGATCCTGCGAGCCACTTTCAACTTGCCCGAGACGTTTTTCTGGGAGGGTGTCTGATTGCACGCAATTACACAGCCATTTTAGAAGGTGTACAATGTGAATGATATAGATCTCAAGAGTCGTCGAGAGCACTCCATCAGTTCTAAATCCACAGGTTCAGAACTTTACATGTCCATGACAATGTCCTCTTGAAGCCAGGCTTGCAAAGTGCCTTAAATCTATGGTTATGACCATTCCACCTTGAGCATATAACTTCTCGGCAACCTCCACGAAACATCTCTCCAGCTTGGCACGGGCTGTTAGTGCCATGCTAAGGAGGGGCCCCAGTCCCCGCGGTTTGCCGCTGCGCGCTGGGGTGGATTAGCTATACGCTAATCAAACCCTTAACAATGCACATTTTCCCCTCGAATCGAGCCGACGATTATTCAACCTAACGAGCCGCCGTCGACTCGAATTCGCCTTCCGCAGGCTAGACGAAGTCTTCCTGGTAGGGCAGGGAGCAGAGGTTCCATCTAGCCTCCCGAAGGAGACGGGCGACTTTCTTTCCCGGCGCAAGTGGCGCTTCCGGGCCCAAATTGAACATCACCGACCGACTTTTCGACTTCGCTCTCTCAGCACCTTTGCCCCTTAAACGATCGAAGACTCCCTCGAAGAGACGAAACGACCATTGGGTAGCGATGTATAGCCACGGCTATATACAGATACGCTCGTTACAGAACCTAACAGCAAGCCCTACAACCTAGTCTTACGAGGTTTTGCCCCTTGTGGTTTCCCTTGTGGCGGTATTACCTATTACGATATACTCCGGACGGTTACTGGAACGTTGTGTAAACCAGAAGCCTGCGGGCTCTGGGTCGAAGGATAGGAGATACTGGCGGAATTGCGTTCTAGGGACGACCATAGCACTGTCTCGGGCAAGCCAGCGGCACCCAGAGACAGGTTAAACACATAGTTGCCTTTGGGCACGATTTGGAGGACGAGCTGGACTGTATCTAGTGATAGCTATAGGCCTACGGCCCTCCACGCCATATACCCTTCGGGAGGTCTGCCGCAAGGGCGGCTGCGCCCTTGCCGCTACGGCGTTAAAATACAACAACAACAACAACAACAACAACAACATATAACTTCTCGGGCACGACCTAGCATACATGTATTCTTGCAAAGTCGTGCATGATCTCTGTGGCGGTATGATGAATGTAATTTTGTGCCAATAATAGTCTGCACTGAGAAGCTTGGAGACTACATGCACTTTCCGAGACTCGGCCCATTGGTATCGATAGAGTCCAACATTCCAGACAGTGTCGCAGAATACCATCCCTCTATTTTGTGGACCTAGCTTGAGTCAATGATGACACTGGGACTTCCCCAGCTGGTTTTGGGCTTTCTTTCAGGTCCATCGAAGTCACTGCAGGAGTTGATCATCAATAGCAAGGGATATGCTTTCAAGATTTTCACGATCTCACCTCGCTTCGGACTATCTTACTGCAAGCCATCCTCCGTTTCGATTCAGACAATGAGTATCAAGGCAACGGCTGCTTGGATGTCAGCCGAACCGGAGTAAGATCCTGGGTTCCCTCGCTAAAGTTTGTAGGGCGACGGAAAGAGGTTCCGTGGAACGCGGCAGTTGAATCGCGTCACCAACAAAGACATCATCTCCCTTTACAGCACCACTTGCACTTTGCACAGTCGCACATAGGACAACTGGATCCTTTCCTTCAGCTGTCTACTGATTAAATGGCGCCGTTACAGATCTGAGACCGTTGAATTAAATGGGAATGCAGATCTCTCAGATGTTGGCTCGATGATCTCAGCCGATGCTTGCCTGCTCAAAGCTCCGAGGGATTAGTAAGGTTGACCACGTTCATGCTAGTCACGCAATCAGTCCTGATTACATCTTGGCTACCCTCGGAGACTATGACTTCCGTGAAATGATCAATCCAGTGACACACTATAGTGCTTCATTGAGCTTCAGCCTTTTCCTCGTCAGCTAGCCAGAGCATCGGAAGGTTTCCTAAAGAGGACAATGGGAGATGAGTCGACGTACCCGCCGAATAACCTCAAGGTCGGCATGGGCCCAGATCATCGCGAAATCCGATGCCATGTTCCTCAGCCTTCGTATCCTGGACCCATCGTCTCGGCGCGCGTGGCAATTTTTGAGATCTGCCAAGCCTGGTGCCAGAAAGCCGACTTGTCACTTTGATTCTTGCATCTCACACAAGCTTTCGCACTTTGGGAGTCCATCACAGGAATATGTGGATATGGCGCGCATCTGGCGGGCAGCGGTCTTCGACTCCCACCGGGATACGGGTGAGACCTCCGGCACGTTCGTGGTCTAGCCTGTGCGCAACACCCATACAATGTCTCGCGCGGAGTCACGGCGATGATGACGTGAAGTTCTCCCTCGTGTTGTTATTTAGGGCACTTGAGCAAGACAAGGCCTCCACGAGCTGAACGGTAGTGATGGTTCCAGACCCAAATAAGTTCCGGTCTTTGGGAGATCAGCCGGTGCTGGGACGGTGAGGTTACTCGAGTTTGAAGCCATCATTCACACCGAGAACCACAACGACCTCAACTTTTGATACACAGAATTCAAAACGGCCTTGGCATAAGAGACAAAATTGTGGGCGGCCGATTATGGGCATGCGAAACTGGGGAAAGAGGGCATTTCCATCTCCACAGCCCACACTCTCGGTAACCCGGAGTTGGTCTCATTCGTCAAAATACAAGGTTAGTAATGAGTGACGCATCAGCTGGCACGTCATTTACCGTAATTCTGGGTTCATCCGGCACGCAACAGCCCGCCTTGAGGCTCTGTTACACATATCTCGCAGGGAGACGACAAGCCGAGCCAATCTTTCCCATGCGGTCTCACGATTTTGACAACTTCACGTTCAGTTCAGCTCAACCAAAGATGGGATGAAAATCCGGATTCACAGCCGTGGCGCGCTTGTTTCTCGTTTGCATCTTGATGCAGGGCTTTCTGAAGACCTTCATCAAAAAGTGACTCGCACGTGCAGGAAGCGTAGCTCTTAGTCCGTTCATAGAGCCCACTCTATCGCGCGAAAGCACGCTTTCTTTTCCGCAAATTCCATTGGGACCTGCAGCAGCGCAGGTCTTCTAGACTAGATGGTGTTTCTTTTTCTGGGCTTCCTTAGGCCAAGTTCCGCCCCTCCATGGCCCAATCGCACAAAACCTGCTTCTTTTCGACGTGCCGTGCGTGTCTCCCCGCAGCTGGGGGGCCACGAGGGGCGGCCTTCCTCTCTTAATCTCTCTCCCTTTCTCACACGGCTCTTGAGCTTCCCTTGCCAAGGGCCTACCAATGGTGTGCCATGGTCCGATGTCTGCATCTCGGACAGACAAATCATTTGGCCCTTGCAGCAAGCCGGACGGGTTCCTTGCAGCGCAGTTAATCTGAGGCACACCACCCACCAGAGCCAAGTGGCTAGTGAGGTTTCCCACAGGGATCCACGGATCCTAGGGAACATCCTCTCATCACGCAAGCTTATCTACCTTTTGCATGTGTACGAGCCCTACCAGGCCCAGGTCCCTCGGAGCTGTTCCGAGGCTGAGGAGACGGGTTTCTGCGAACCGCGTAGCGGCGATCTACCTATTCATCCCGCGCGCGGGGCGAGCACACCACTTGGCACCACGCTGCTACTAGTCAAGCCACATTCGCTAGTGTCCGCAAGCTTGGCCTCGTCTCCAACGGACATGGCCAGGCAGGGATGCGGACTACTTCTCAGATTGCTTATGTCTCGATGGGCAAAGCAAGCAACGGACGGTGTATAGCCTGCAAGTCGCGAGTCTATGATGGAGGAGCCGCATGGCCAGCACTATCGCTGAGGCAATCGCGAGATGAACCAAGGGAAGAAGGAGTCTAAGACCCAGAAAAGACGCGATATTGGTGGCCGATTGTTGGCTCTCTCAACCCCACCATCCCTTGGTACACCGCGTTGGTTCCTCTGGAAATCGCCGTGGGCGGTGCTTTTTCCTATGCCGAGTCTGTTGATTTGATGCTCTTGATGGTGCCTCTGTCGAGATGCCTCTGTGTGTATAAGACTTGGAGGTTTCCAGGCCCGGTTGTCGGGAATTGTTCTCATCTCCACACCAGCGCAGTCATCTCCTGCATCTCTTCCCATCGACAAGCTCCAGACATTCACTCTTTGCTCTTTTCGAAGTTCAAGGGTCACCAGTCTTTAAGAGGTCCAGTTACTAACAGCAGTCATGAAGCCTTCCACCTCCGCCGTGTTGGCCACCCTCTTTGTGTTCGGCGCTGCTCAGTGTAACAGGGACAACTGCCTGAGAGGTGGGTGATCCTCCACCCCTACCTCGAACCTGGAGGGCAATCTACAACAGAAGAACCACATGGACTGACTAACAACCCCACGCGTAGCCATTGCGGCCAGTGCCTTCACCACCCGAAGTGGTACTGCCGACTGCTCTCGGTTCCTGCAGGTGACCGTCTACCCCGGTGCCACGTAAGTGCCTCTTTCACGAGTATCCATCTCCACTGGACATCATTCAGAACTAACACTCTCGCAGGACGACCACCACAACCGTGACCGTCCCGACCAGTGGAATCTTCACCTCCACGGTCACTCTCACCTCCGGCGGCGGCGGTGGTCCCGTGGAGACCAGCCTGGTCGTCGAGACCGAGTTGGCCTCCTCCACGGCCACCTCCCTCGTCGGCGTCACCCAGACCACGACCGTCGCCACCGAGGTTGTCATCGTTCCCACCACCATTGTCGTCTCTTCCACCCGGACCCTCACCTTTGGCACCACCGAGATTACCACCGTCGCCACCGAGACCCAGACCATCTTCGAGACCCTCGCTCTCGAGAAGCGCCAGGCCGCCACAACCGCCATCTCCGCAAACACCTTCCCGGCCTACGCCTCAGCTTGCAGCTCCGTCGCCCGCTACGCTTCGGCCTGCTCTTGCCTCGGCATCACGCCGGACACGGTGACTTCAGCCGTCGCCACCGCCACGGCAACCGTCTCGGTCCCGGCCACGATCCTGTCCACCTCCATCGTGACCGTCACCGTCTCCGGCAGCGGATCCCCTGGCTCCACGGCTCTCTCGACCACCACGACGACCTCCACTGCCATCACTACCGTACTCGCCACGTCTACGGCCTTGGAGGCGGTCACGGCCACGACCTCCGTCGGCAGCACGTCTACGGAAGTGGTTGAGGAGGTTACCTCTGTGACTGGTACTTTCCTTAACAACGCTACCTTCACCACCTTCGTTACCCGCACCACCTCGCTGCCCCCTATTTTCAACACTACTATTACCCTTGGACCCTCGACCACCACTTCCGAAGCCGAGTCTTCCTCCACTGGTTCCACCATCTTTGACAGCACCAGCACTGAGGCTAGCTCTTCCGCTCCCTCTTCCTCTTTCTTCCCCAACTCTACTATTATCTCTACCATCTCAGAGACCTCTTCCACCTTTACTTCTACTATCTTCCCCAACATCACTTCTACTGGATCCAGCTCGGTCCCCACCGAGTCTTCCATCACCTCGACCTTCTTCCCCAACACCACAATCACCTCCGAGTCGACCACAATCACTTCGAGCTTCGCCTCCACCACCGTATTCCCTAACACGACCACTTCTTCCGTGGAGACGGAGTCGAGCACCGTATTCCCTACCAGCAGCGGTTTCCCCAACACCACAATCACCTCTGGCAGCGAGACCTCGACCGTCTTCCCCTCGACCACGCTCTTCCCGAACTCGACTACTTCCGAGACCGCCTCCGTCTCGCCCACCTTCTTCCCCAACAGCACGACTCTCACCTCTAGCAGCGAGTCCTCTGCCTTCCCTTCGTCGACCCTCTTCCCCAACGTGACTTCCACCGAGTCGTCCGTTTTCCCTTCCTCGACTCTGTTCCCCAACACCACGACGGCCACCGTCCCCGAGTCCTCTTCTTCCTTCACCTCTATCTCTAGCCTCTTCCCTAATGTGACTTCTACTGAGTCTTCTTCGGCCTTCCCTTCTTCCACTCTCTTCCCCAACGTCACTTCCACCGAGTCCTCTTCGGCCTTCCCCTCCTCCACCCTCTTCCCCAACACCACGACCCTGACCATCTCGGAGCCCTCCACGACTATCACCTCCACCTCCACCTTCTTCCCTAACATCTCCTCCACCGAGTCGTCGGACATCTCCTCCTCCACCGCGGCCCCCAACGCCACCCTGACCCTCATCACCTCGGGCACCGAGACCTCAACCCTGTTCCCCACGTCGACCCTGTTCCCGAACTCGACCGCCATTGAGTCTTCGACCATCACCTCCCTGACTTCCTCCGTCGGTCCTACCTTCTTCCCCAACAGCACCATCTTCACTGATGATCCCACCGTCACCATCAGCATCATCAGCTCGACCTCAACCGATGCTTCAACCACCACCGATGACGTGAGCTCCTCCTCCATTTCCGCCTCGGAGACATCCTCATCTGCCACTTCCACCGCAGACGACTCTTCCTCGACCTCTGCCTCCGCCAGCAGCAGCAGCACCGAAAGCAGCACCTTCGTCACAAGCACCCTGACCACAACAACCTCCTCCTCAACCTCCTCCTCCGCAACCCCGACCTCAACAGACGTCATCGCCCGCAACCTCTGCCTCAAGGTCTCAACCGGCCCCGCCCCAGGCTCCGTCGTCGCCCTCGGCTCAAACCGCTTCTCCATCAAGCCAGCCGGCTCCCAAGCAGCCCTCTTCGACCTGAACCTCTCCACCGGCGAACTCTTCCAGACCAATGGCGAGCTCGTCGCCGTACCCGCCCCCTACGCAGACGACAACCGCCCCGTCAACGGCTTCACCCCTCGCCAGACCCTCGTCCGCAAGCTCGCGCCCTTTGTCTGCGCCGCAAACGGCCAGTCCCTCCTCGTCGGCGTCCCCCTCAACTGCACCGCCTCCGGCGACGACGGCGTCAACCAGAACACGTACTCGCGCTTCTTCTACAACCGCAACTCGGCCGACTCGGTTCTCCGCGTCGCTACCGAGGGGCGTAACTTTACCAACAACAACCAGGCTATTACCCTGGCTCCTTTCAACCAGGGCGACTGCTAAGCGTTTTTTTGGGTTTTTTTTTGGCAGCGGCCTCATGTTTTCACTATACAGCCCTTTTGAGCTGATTTTCTTTGCAACAAACGGCCTACAGGCTTGGAATCTCTGTACTTTTACCATGATTGGGCAGAGTTGGGAGCCATAATCATGTGCTATATACTTTGGACCCACGTAATGGATAGCTCACTACATACACTCGTTACAAATTGAATACTTTCTTTTCTGATATAACTTTTTGCAAAAATATGCTTGACTGTGCCATGATGTTCCGAGCCAACAGAGTGACTTGATTGGATCCCAACAGCATTAGCATTCCAACTTCTCAGTAGAGAACTGGTTTTTAGCTAGAATTGATTAAGAGTGAAGTTCAAGATTAGAGGATTTGCAAAGAGAGTAAAATTCCCCTGAGCTTCAGTGCAATTTTCCTGTTCCAATGCTATGGCAATTGAACGGGGTTGATGCTCAGAATCATTGGAATTCTGCATGTTGGTTTGACTGTGAGTATTGACCGAATGAACCCACATTCGTATTGAACATTCACGTTGAACCATCTACGACATTGCAAAGACTCCTTTTAGTAAGCGGGATAATTGGAGACACGCAGTGGCGGAAGTTGGACCGCCAAAAATCTTCCACTGGGCCGGCATGAATCCTGTTTCTTGACAATGATCGACTTTGCGTTCCGGCCCTTCCGACTCCAAGGGGTTCAAGGGTACTGGCATTAGTTCTCTCATTTTTCAATCATTATAATATTGCAGACACATGGTGAGGTTTTCGCCTTCCTTTCAGTCATCCTGTCCCATCACCCACAGCATCTTTATCGACCCAGGGCTGGGCACGAGTGTCTGTCGTTGCCGCTCACGTGCCGCTGTTCGGCAAATTTGGCTCGGGCGGCGCGGGGGCCGCCGAGTGGGTCCACAATCGGCCGGGGGTGTAAGAAAAGCCGGAGGGAGCCTGCCCTGGCCTGCCCTGGCCTGCCCTGGCCTGCCCTGCCCGGTGGGCCGTGGAGGCCTTCGCAGAGCATCGGAAAGCCACCCTCAGTCTAGAACGCAGCCACCAGCCACCAATACCACACAGAATTAGGCAGATGACGAAGATGGCTCATCAAAGATTTCGTATGCCGACGACAACCAACATCCGGAGGGAGAGGGAAAAGAGGCTGTGTGTTTTCGTAGTTCGTACTCCGTACAGAGTAAGGTAGCGTGCCCACTTTCCGTAAATATGCTTTTGATCCGGCGGTTCGGTAGCTGTGAGCCACGTTCTCGTAGCATCGGACCGGCGCCCGCCCGATCGTACCTTGATTGTAGAGTTAAAAAATAGCAGGGCAGGCGCCGCAATGGAGGCTGAAGCTTACGGAGTACAGCCCGAGAAGGATGAAGACCGTTCTGACATCGACTCATTGTAACAAAGCGGTCATGACGACCGAAACTTCTTTGAGTGAAAGTCTAGCGTCGAAACGGGAGCGAAAAAAGCTCGGACGGGGGACCGATAATGATGCAGGGGCTTGAGGCTGCAGCTACGAGCCTACGACCAATTATCCTAGCTCTCAAAGGAATCTCGCTGCCTATTGGACTGCAGATTTCATCTCAGCCCTAGTCAGCCGTCTACTGTGTAAGTAAGGTACCTCGCGTCTGCACAGCTGCAGTGATATTTGACGTCGTTCGAAGGCTCTCGATCGAATCCTGATGCGTCGTGCACAGTCGAGTGGTTCGATGGCGGCCAGGCCGAGGGGAAACCAGCGACGGCAAGTTGGGGAGGACCCAAAAGAACGGATACGCGCAACGGAAGCGAACCCGGCGACCGTCGCACTGTCCTGGTCCAGGGACTGTAAAACTGGAGCTCGATTTGGAGGCCCCCGTCTGTGACGGTCAAGCTTTTTTCGTTCTGAGGCCGCAAGGCCAACAATACGAAGAAGAACGTGAGAACCCACAGTAAAGTGTGGGAAAAAGTGGTGAGCCAATGGCCGGGGAAATCTCCACTCGACGGGAGCTACGATTCTGATTTCCCAAAATGGAAGACGGTGGGGCCGTTTCTTCCATCACCGTGAACTTTTCTTTTCCCTCCGTCTTTTCTCCCCCTCGAGGGTACGGCCATTTCGTTTCCCCACTTTGCCAAGGAAGCTTCGCCACCACAAGAGGGGACCTTCAATTCGCAACAACTTGCAACGTAGAAGAAAAAGACTGGAGAAATGGCCAAACTTGGTTTATCAATTTCACAGTTAAAGGCCGAGGCTATAACGGCGAGTCATCCAGGGCATGTTCGAATAGGTATTCGTTGAATCGTCAGTACCCTACGAATAGGGTTGGCAGCTCTACTGTCTCATGCTGCCATTCTCCTTTATCACGGATATAGAGGTAGACAAGCACGGGTTGCATCCGCGGTATTATCTACGCAGTGTATACAAATACTCGAGTAGCTATGATATTTACACTATTTAACACTATCGTTTGACATTATTATAAGATTATTATAATATATATAAACGTAACCCTATCTCTAGGTTTCAGTATTATTTAACCTTAGTCTTTTCTTTAATTTTTCTTTCCTCTTTTTATCTTTTCTTTTTATTAAAAGATTGCTAAAATTGTAATTTCAATAACGTTATCTAATATAAATATATTAATAGTATTTTATAGCCGTATTATTATCTTTCACGGGTTGTAATTAATAACAATAATAATTTTAATATTAATCACTAGGTCTTTTTAAAGTTAATATTATAAATTATAACGTTAATAGATTTAATGTGACATTTCCTATCAGCACACTTGGTGCTACGGTCACGTGATAAGCGTGGCCTCTGTACTTTAGACGGTCTGACCGTGACCCTCCACATAAGGGGGTCAACCTTGAAGACACACATCACCCATGACCTACCATTGACGTTCACTTGCTCTTTCGCTTTGCTCTTTCGCTTGCTCTTCTGCGCGTGCTTCAATCGCTTTGCTCATTTCGCACTCTCCTGCCCGTACCTACACAGTCAGGCCACAGTCTTACCCCCTCTGTCAGAGACGGCTCTGTCAGAGAGACTGTGTCATTTAATATCCTAATAAATATTGTTGGAAAGGTAAATCTTTTACCTTATTATTTGCCTTTTTATTCATATTACATAAGCATATTATATATCATATTAATCTATAAGAGTTATAGATTGATATAGATTTTAATTACGTAAGCAAGATTGGTTATGTTAGCTTACGTGAGCGAAAGAAGGCACTGGAAAGTAATAGAATGCACTGGAATTTACTTGAAAGGTATTACGTACTACAATTACACATTCACTTACGTATATGCTTATTAATTATAATATGATTAATAAGCAATGGAATATTCTAGTTGGAGGATCTTATGCCTATATAAGGGCATCTTTTTACCTACTTAGACCTTTCGTTAAGCAAGCAACTTCTCATATAGTAATCTAACTATATACTCTCTTTACAGTTATTAACCTCTTTTATATACGCTTAACTACCCCTATATTCATATATTCTTGCTTCTATATGAATACTCACCATTTAATACTCTTGTATAAGAGTCTTATTACTTACCTCTTAAAGCTATTGTGCCAGTTACATTTATAATTAAATAAATTTAAAAGCTTTTATATCTTTTAAAAAGAGTTATTAAAAGGAGTTATAATTAAGTTTTGTGGCCATTATAATTAATATTATACTTAGAATGTTTATTAAAATTCTAAACTTATACTTGATTAGTACCCTAAAACTAGTACTCTATAATATAAGAAATAAATATTAATATTTCAATGAATATAAGGGCTACAGATGTTTTATAAATATATCTAAACTCATTGAGTTTTCACAATTTTAATGACATATTTATAATTTATAAATATAGGTACTATAAAAGTTACGTGCTTAAGAGGTTATGTAGTAATAAGATGCTTAACTAAAGTACGTATCTACTGAGATACAACGCTTTGTACGCACGTATAGCCCGTACGTAAATACGCTTTACATATACATGTTAAAGCGCCGACTGGCACATATGCCCGTATAAACTTAATAATAAATGCTTAGACTTAAGCACCACATGTGATCACATGTAATTACATGTGATTAAATATATTATTTATATACTATATATATATTATATATAGACTGTACTTTCTCATCATATTATAAAATAATTATCAATACAATCAATTCTCTGATTATCCCAACTCGTATCTCAACTTATTTACATTTTCTCTTTTTGCCTACCTCTATGTTACGAGCAGGACAAGGCAACCAACTGTGGCACAAAGCAAAAGCTTCGATAATGATGACTCCGGCATCATTGTCCCTTGTTCTGCATTATATAGCTACGCGCCCACAGTGACAAGTTGCGGCGGGCGTAACACTCTAACCTCTTAGTATTATTATAATTAAATTATGAATCTTAGTAGAGAATCGTTATTATAATCAACTTTTTTTTAATAAGCCTAAAAAGATATATATTAATTTAAGTGCTAGGTAAATACTATATTATTTTATTAAAACCGTATTCTCGTACCTATGACTTATATAGAATCTTTTCTTCAATAATAAGATACTTGGGGGGGGGGGGCTGTGATATTTAGTTTGGTTACGAGATTGGTGTGTGAGTGTGAAATGTCAAATGCAGGGGGCAGATGTGGGTTCTTGGCACCACCATGAATCAAGGGGAAACGAATTCGTGATGGGCCGCCGGGGGAACTCACACGAGACATGATGAACAGTGGTGGAACGTGATGATGAACACACTGAATCATCCGGTCCACGGTAAATATTGGATGGCGGGCGGCATGTGGGAAAGACGGCGGCAGGCAGATCCATGCCGTCCGATTAGAACCCGCGTCCCCCGAAGAAAAGCTGCCGGCTGCGCGTCTGAGAGCGTCGTCGTTGTGAGCCTTGAGGCAAAATTGCCGGCCGACTGACGCTACGCCGCTCACAGCCGCACGCGAGTGACCTTGCGAGGCGCGCCGGCACAGAGGACCTCCCGGCTTCTCGTTGGCTCAGACTGGAGGCTGCCGTGAGGGCAGTGAGCACTGGAAAAGTGAGGTGTACTCCGTAGGCGTGCGTGGCTGTCGAGGACTTGCTGACTGTGCAGCGGCTGGTGGCCACACAAGTATCCGTAACGAGCAGCGGCTTAAGCTTGAGCTTCAGTTTCAGACATTGAATGCTAGGCGTGCCAACTTGGATTATTAAGGGGACTCCGCCAAGACCCAGTGTGATGTCGGTGATGATGGCTTGAAAGGTGCTGGCGAGATTGGCACGAAATGAACAAGAGATGGCGCCTGGCTCGCCTCACCCGCCAAGACCCAAATATTCCAACGCTTGCTTAAAGTTGCGGGCACTTCGGCGTGGCACGCCGCACGGCTCCAGACGGGAGGGCAGCCTGGAAACAGCAGGATCGTCGTCTCGCCGCCCGTCCTTCGTATCGGCATTCGTACGGTACAAAGTAACACTGCGGCCAATACACGTCCAATGCCCTGTACGTAGACCGGGCCTGGCCATCAAAGACTCAGGGTTTCCACTGAGGTCTCCAGGCACACAGATGGGGACCCTCGGGGGGTTACCATTGTCGCCTGTAACGTCTTTCAGGGGCACGAACCATCGGTGAGCAAGGCCTAGGGACCTAGGGAGTACAGGTTAGCCCATGTGTATCTCATCGCTGGTCGATGAGCCGTGAGTTCTGAGGGACGCATGGGTAGGTTTTCACACGCAAAGGAAGAAGTGTGCTAGAACCAGAGGGAGTGAGAGGGAGCAACAGACTCACTGAACAAGAGTTTGGAGGCATCGGAGTGCAGAGTGACCCGACCTGTATCCGTACCTTACATTGCAGCGTCTTGGATTCTTGGCAGAGGAATGAGTCAATAGCGAATCAATCTCGATCATCGGCTGAGGGAAAGGTGGAGCAGGAAATCAATGCTGTCAACGGCCTTGGCCAGGAGAGACCCGTCTGCGGTGTCGTTTTGTCCAATCATCGGCAAAGCTGCTATTTTCTGCGTCTCTTTGCCCCCGTGGAGGTGCATCTGGGCGACCCAAGATGAGTGCCAGAAACAAGAAAGCCGAAATTCAGGGAATCAAGCGATCAACTTGGGCGCCTCCACGTGTCGATGGCGGTCGGGCTCAGCTCAGTGGGCAGATGAATGGAGCGAGTGGAGGAACTGCGATGCAAGTAAGCTCGACAGCCGCCAGCATGCTCGTGCGAGCCCGATTCTTTCTGCCTGTAGATCAGGAGCAATGTTTTTTTTTGTCAGCGCGCAGGATATAAGTGCGTGGTGATGATGGCCAATGTGTACGAAGATCCCGTTTGGGAGTTGATGCAGCAGTTGAAAATCAACCCAAGGCATTCGTACGTGCAGTGAGACTGTGACATTTCAGACTCGTCAGACTAGTCACTCACCCAAATGCTGCAAAGGCAACTGCAAAGAGAAGAAGAAGGAGCAGTCCTGACGAAGTGGAGCCGCATGGCCCCTGTTTCAGCTCCGCCCCTTGATCCTTCCACCGCTTTCCACTTGGGTCCGAATTGTGGGTTCCTTCCCCGGGGCTGGCTGCTCCAAGTGCCCCACACCCTTGTCTCTCGCTCCTTCCCTAGGCCTGACAATTTTTTTTTGGTAGACTGGGGCAGGAACAGAGGAAACACACGCTTTCCATTGGGCGAAGAAAGGCAGGCATTGGCCGTTTGACGATCCGGCAGCGGGAAGGTGTGAAGGTCTGGACTGAAGAGGAAAGGCGCCAAGGGGTGCATCTGTGGCCTGCAGGAGCGAATGTTCTCTCTCACAGGAAAGAGCGAGCCGTTGGGCCAAGAGGTGGAAGTGGGAGCAAGAGCGAGAAAAGACGGTAAAAAAAATTCAAGTCATGAAAATAATCAGTGGCCACAGACGCGACGGTGACATTTCTCTTCTCTTGGCTGCTGTTCGCCGCGTACTTAACAAAACATCTCCTATTTCACATCTCTTCCTCCTACATCCCCTTCTCCTTCTGACTCTTCCTCTTCCGCTTGGAAATCCCCTCCAGTCACTACTACTTCTTCATCTTTTCTTTTCGTCCGACACTCGCTTTCACCAATTCAACCCCTGATCACCACCAAGTTCCTACTTCACGGTACCTGTGCTTACCACACCATCTCACCTCCCGGCCCTGGTCGACTTCCACACCATCAGCGCCCTTTTCGAGTTTAACTCCCGTCTAATATCCCAACTTCACACAAGGTCCCCCCTCCTTCTCTCATCATCCTTCCGACCAATTTCGTACCCCTTCCAGCGTTACGCTTCATATACCAAACACTCCCGCGCCAAAAGCTACCTTACCGTCCTTACGGTCCCTACTCTTTTCGACCAACCATCCCTCACTCCCGCCGCCATCGTTGCCGATTGACAGACAGGGTCTGTCTATAATCGACACGTTAGGAGCATATCAAAGAGCTCCTCCTCCCCTTCCCGCTCCCCTCCTTCCCTCCCGCTTTCGGATATGCCACACCTAAACACCTCGGCCTACGAAGTTCCAACAATCAATATACCAACCAACGACTCCGGAGTCACGCCTCACATCATGGCTGAAGAAGGCGGTCACCATGCGCCCACGGGCGGCAACAACCACAACCCTGCCAGCGACAACCAGAACCACCAGGATTTCACCATTAAGCCGCGCATGACCGACTTCAACATGGAAGAGCTGCGCGACACAATGTCGCCCACCGGTCCCATGACCCCGAACCCCTTCAGCAGAAAGAACACCAGCATCGACATTGACGATTACTTCACCGGCCCTCGCGATATCCTCAAGCACTCCAAATGGCCTCTCTTCATGCAAATGCACGGCAGCATTTTGCCCAAGATGGTTGTTCCCCTGATTTGGATGTCTCTCTGGTCCGCCGCTATCACCGTCATCGACAAGTACCGCACCACTATGGGTGTCGACTCTGTCCTGCTTACCGTACTGGGTTTCGTTGTCGGTATGGGTCTTTCTCTGCGCAGTTCTACCGCCTATGAACGTTACGCCGAGGGTCGCCGCTACTGGGCCCAGCTCATTCTCGCTACCCAAAGTCTTGGTCGCGTCTTCTGGATTCACGGTGGTGACAACGAAGGCATCGATCCCAGACAGTCGCTGCTCCGCAAGGTCGGCTGCATGAACCTGCTCCTCGCCTTTTCCGTTTCCCTGAAGCACAAGCTTCGCTTCGAGCCCTACACCCAGTACGAGGACCTCGAGCACCTCGTCTCCCACATGACGACCTTTGCGCAAGAAGCCACGGCTGCCGAGCCCGAGAAGATGACCCTGAAGAAGAAGAATTTCTTCAAGGAGACTGGTGAATACCTCGGCGTCTCCTTCGCCGCCAGTAACCCCCGCAAGACCATCAAGAAGGCCTCCCGTCCTCTCGGCAACCTCCCCCTCGAGATTCTCTCTCATATCTCCTGCCTCATCGACAGGATGGTCGAGGACGGCCAGCTCAAGGTCCCCATGCAGCAAACCCTTGCCTACAACAACGTTGCCCTCCTGAACGACATCATGACCGGAACCGAGCGTGTCCTGACCACACCTCTCCCCATTGCGTACGCCATTGCCATCAGCCAGATCACCTGGGTCTATGTTATGCTGCTCCCCTTCCAGCTGATTGACAAGCTCGGCTGGATCACCATTCCCGCCACCGTCGCCGCGTCATACATCATCCTCGGTATCCTCTTCATCGGTCGCGAGATTGAGAACCCCTTTGGCGAGGACGTCAACGATTTGCCTCTTGAGGTCTACTGCGAACAGGTCGCCTCTGAACTCGATATCATCGCCTCATTCGAGAAGCGCGAACCCTATCGATTCATGGAGTCATCCCAGAACTTGCCCTTGTTCCCTGCCAGCATGGCTCCCTACAACATCTGGATGGACCGCTCCGAGAACCGCGTCCGCGAGGCAATCAAGTCCAAGCACAACACCGTCTTCGAGTTCCGTAAGAAGGTCATTCTCGAAAAGGTGGCGTCAAGGGCCGGCAACACGGCGACAGAGAAGAAGCCCAGCAGCGAAGGCACCACCACTATTAATGGCGACCACAATGTCTAAACAGACTGCGTGTGCCTTCAATTTGCTTCCAGTCTTTCTTCATCTCTCTCCCTTCCCCTCTATTTGAATTGGAAACGGGTTGGGCGAGAGCGGGTTTAGCGATTTACGTCAAGGAGCATTTACGGCACGGAAAAACAAAAGATTCTTTCATACATTGCCCCGACAGGTGGCTTTTTGCGGCATAGGAATGGTTTCGGATCTTTCTTTTCACTGTAATTACCTAGTTTCTGGATGACACAAAAAAGGGACAGGTGTGGTTTTGAGCGTGGCATTTTCTCTCATGGTATTGAGACGACTACAGAAACAACTCTACAAGAGTAGACATCAAAATTAAATGGAAAACATTTCAAAATGAAGAATTTCCCAATAACTAGTGCCAAACGTATCACTTTGAGCACCTTGCGATGAAGTCTTAGATCCTCTGCTTATCTCACTACTACAGGATATAGATACACACGACCTTTCCACCTCGACAACAAGATCCCATCCCCGACCTCGAAAACCTGGGCACTATCGAGCAACGGCGCGGGCCGCCCTCCGTAAAGTGGGTGTGTGTGTGTGGGTTTCCTCGGACCTCCATCGACCGGGGTCTGAGGCGGAACGTCAGACCAAGCGGAAACCAACCCAAACGAATAGTAAATGCGCACGACTCTTACTTATAGGTTACCTTGGATCGGAACAAGGGGCTATTTCCCGAGCTTTGGAATCCGTAGTTTGACTGGAGGTGGGGTCCAGTCAATTATTCCGTCGTTTTAGACTTACTGCGCGATGTCGAGTGGTCCACGACAGGGCTGGTTATTCTCTGTAGTTAACGGGGTAATTGATGTAGATATATCGTACCACAGTGCTTCGCAATTTGGCATAGAACATCAAGCTAAAGTACTTACTTACTTAGAGTGTCCAGTTGATAGGGTGTCATGGTCTGCATGTTTTGGGGGTACATCATTTTGATACCCACCTTACCTTACCTAGTAGGTACTCAGGCAGCTGCGTACTAGGCACTTTATCAAGTCGAGGCAATACACGATTCTGATTTTCTGCTGACTCGCCCGGGGGGATCCTGGGATATGATTAGGCACGCGACAAGTTCAATGTAAGCATTCCGCCCCGGCACCCGCCCCGGCACCCGCCCCGTCGGACAGCCGTGCGGGCGCGGGATACAGCCGGGCCCGGGGACATGTCCATACCCGGTCTCAATTTCCCACCGAGAAGCGCCCTCCCTCAAGGATATTAGACTTGCCCGCGGCAAACCGGGATCACATCGTCCCATCTACCCAAGCTCGGCGCCCGCCAAGCAGCGCCCCGGCTCCGCGTTGATTAGTCTGGAGCCGCCGCCGGAGTATGGATTTTGGCACAAATGGCGGGGAACGCCACGGAAAAACGCCACGAGAATCAGTGCCTTGGGACGGACCCGCCGGTATAACCGAGATCTTTACATCATACCTACCCAAGCTGCTAAGGTAAGGCTTAAATCTGACAGGCGTGACAGGCGTGACAGGTCGATCTGGTCGATTCCGACTCCTTGGTCCAGATTTTCGGGATCCTATCGATCGCGCCCAAGGGTCACTTTCTCCACTTGAGGTGGGAGAATGTCGCGCCTCGCTACGTATGTGCGTTTGCAAGGAGATCCAAGTAGCAGTAGACTGGACGACTCATTGTGTATGATTCAATGTTGATTTCAATGGATAAGCTCTGTATTGGAAGGCATGGAGTGATTCCTTGTTTGTCGCACGTCAAATTGATAGCTGGTTAATGCATGAGTCCTCTCGTTGGCCGGTAGGTATTTCTGCACGGCGCCGCATACCGAGTGAGACATACCGCTGGGAAACATAGCATCTCGTAATGCTGAAAGAAGTCCAAGACGTTTCGATGAGAATGCCCATAGGCTATCGGCTACCATTCCGAATTCAGCGGTACGAATGCGGCCATGGGAGAAGGACTCATGTTTCAGGAGAGGCGAAAGTCGTCTGCGATGAACATGAAGGAAAATATGAATTTGGAACAGAAGCGAACGTTGACTGGGTGTCCTACCGAACCTAGATGGGGGAAGAAGATCCAGCCGCGAGGGGCGCAACCCAAGCGTGGATCGGTTCGCCGGATCCGGAGCGGCCATCGCGCAGCCGGGGACGCGGCCTCTGAGACATTCCCTGTTCTTCTTACCGAACGCGTGCCGGAAAATGGGTTGAGGCTCGTTTAAGCGCTCTAAGCCCGTGGCGTCTTTCGTCCGTATATGTGGTAAAAGCCTCCCACTTCCTGAACCCCGATGCTGGATCACTCTCTTGGTTCTGCTCCTCTCTTCCCTTTCTTCCTAGTTTCTTGTCCTGGCCTCCCTTGTTTTTTTGGACTGCATGATATTTCAATTACACCTCCTTCCGAAAAGGGGTGAATACCAGGGCTCCAAGGTCCTTAGCTTCTCATTCTGCGTAGCAGCTTGAGGGGCTTGACACCGAACTTCACTCCGCGAGAAGCAAACCCCGAACCGAAAACGACTGGGACGCCCGTCGCCCAAAAGGACGGAACCCAGACATCCGATGCGCGTCTCGGAATAAGGAGAAACACCAGGGCATCGAATTTACTCAATGTTGATTTGGCCCGGGCTAGAAAAGGAAGACATGAATGTGTCTTCCAACGAGACCACCGGGGAAGGGTTCGGCTTGACGCAGATGCAGGCGCTCCCGCACGAGAGCCTTGCCAATATGATGCTCGGCGTCATCATTGCGGTGCTCATCGTCACGACTGTGTTTGTTGGGCTGCGGATCTACGTGAGGGCGCGGGTTATCAAGCAATGGGGTGCCGATGACACGATGGTTACGCTTTCGTTTGCTACGGTGGCCTTTCATGGGGTCATGCTATGTATGGGTACGTTTCTGAGGTGACTTTCCAGGAGAAAATTGTGAAGAAATGATGTTCGGCTGGGAAGGACAATTATGAAGGGGGAGTTTGTGGGCTAATGTGGTTGAGAGGGACACAGGTACGAGATTCGGACTCGGAAAGCATGTGTGGATGACGCAACCGCAGACAATCGAGAAAGCTCAAAAGGTAAGCCTTCACGAAACATAAGATTCTATATATCCTCGGATACTGATTCTAGATGGCGAAATAGCTCGCCATGTTCATCATCATGATCTACAACATTGCCTTCGTCACCATCAAGATCGCCTTCCTTCTCCAATACCGGCGAAGCTTTCCCCTTCCAATGGTCGAAATGCTGTGTAACGGAGGCATTGCGTTCCTCGTGTTATTTGGCGTATCCCTGATGATCTCGGCGGGCGTCACATACAGCATCATACTCAAACGCGATGTGGCGGATTCGTCCGTTAGTGTATTGGGATGGTGGCTTGCCAATGCGGCGATACATTTGCTCACGAACATCTTCATCTTTGTTCTGCCGTTACCGCTACTCGGAAGGCTGAGACTTCGGCGAGGGCAGAAGCTTGCTCTCGCCATCGGCTTTGCTTTGGGGTTATTGTGAGTTGAACTCTGCATTCGTTCATTCCCTCATGAGACATTTGGTGTTAATGTGAATTGGTTCCCGCCAGAACATGTGCTGTATCCGTAATTCGGACCGCATATCTTCCGGGGTCTTTTGACATGGTCGACATGACGTACGACGGAATTTCCATGATCCTCTGGTCCGTCGTGGAACTATCGTGCGCGGTCATTTGCTGCTGCATCCCGACCCTCCGACCGGTCGTAGGACGACGACGACAAGATCTCAGCGGCGACTATGACGACGCTACCATTTTTGGCGGAGGAGGCGTTTGCAGAGAAGACATGAGTTTCGGCGAGGGCCCGCAACGCGTTCGACCGGGAGGAATCGGACTCAACAACGAGAGGATATCTTCATCCATAAGCTGCGCCTCAGAAACTGGCATGAGGAAGCCCGGCCCGACCTTTTTCTGGCTACGTTCGCGGAAACAGAGCGACCACTCGAGCATCAACGGACTCGACGACATTGAGCCGATGCCACCCGCAATGCCTATGATGGCGGCGACGGCAGCAGCGATGCCTGTGGTGGAGGTGAATGGGATCCGAAGGGAGAGCGAGCACGGCATCATCGTCGTCGAGAGTGAGCGCGTCGACGGGGTGAACCGCGAGCGAGGAATCCCGCGACGGGCGAGCGTGAGGAGCAGTCTGCGGAGTGACAACAGTCTTGGGGTGGCGCTGCGTAGAGATTTGAGTGTGAGGAGGCAGATGAGCATAGCGATGACGGAACGGGATTCGGATGATGATGTGTACTATTTTGGTGTTAATGAGGAGGATGTGGACTTGGAGTGTCCGACGCCGCTGAGTCCGCCGCCAAAATGTCGAAAGTCGACCAGTTCTTGAGGGGGTCGACGGATGTCTGTTTAGACTTGTAGAACATACTGTACGGCGTTTGGGTGGTCTAGTTCGCGTTCCAATGATGGCGACCTTGGAGTTTTGCATTCACGAGACGGTTTCTAGGAGCATATCATCGCATACGTCAATGATGAAGTTGATTCCGGAATGGCATGCACTGACATCCGCTGAGACTCAGTCTACCCGTAGCCCAGCTTCCTTGAGTAACGGCAATATCTTCTCACCAAAGTACTCTAAGTCCGGTGCGAAATCGTAAAAGTTGATTTGGACACCATCGATCCCAACCTTGTGCAACGCATCCAGCTGTTCAACGACCTGCTCCGGCGACCCGATAATCTCAATGTTGCCTCCCAGATTCAGACCCTTGTTCTCTCTGGCATCCTTCCTGCCCCGCCAGGCATGGGCATCACTATCATACGCGCTGTTCGCCGTCCCAAACTTCTTGACATCGGTCTGGACCTTCTTGGTACCCTCGGCGATGCTCTCCGCATACGCCCACGCCTCCTCGGGCGCATCCCGAGAGACGATGATCGGGTTGATGATCTTAACCCCGCTGCGGCCCTGCGCCTCGATAGCGGCTCTGATGTTGGCAATGTGAGCCGGCAGCGTCTCAAGCGCGCTATCAATGTGCGCCGTCCCCGGCGAGGTGATGAAGATGAGGTCAGAGTACCGCGCGGCGAATTCGATGCCCGCAGGCGAGCCCGTCGCGTTGACGAGGATCGGGCGGCCAAAGTGCGGTTTGGGCGTGACCCACGCCATGGCGACACTTTGCCCTCGTAGGAAATATCCTCCGTTTCGTTCCAAAGACTGTTGACTACGTCAAAGAGCTCGCCGGCCATTGTGTACCTCTGATCGTGTTCGATGCGCTGCTTTCCAAACATCTCGTGCTCGACGGCCCGATGACCCGTCACCACGTTGATGCCCCAACGACCCTTGGCGATGTGGTCTAGCGTGGCGCCGTACTTTGCAATATGCAAGGGGTGAAGTGGTCCGTAGAGGACGTGCATAGTAGAGATGAGCAAAATTGACTCAGTCACAGCTGCCATGGCGCCGAGGGCGACAAAGGCGTCCAGTGAGGCCTCGCCGTCGTAGCCGCCTTTGGGGAGCCATTGGGTGCGGCTAAAGGCCAGTTCGAAGCCGAGTTGCTCGGCGCGCTTGACGAGAGCGATATTGTAGTCAAAGGTCCATGTGTTTGTCGTTGGGTGCGTGGAGAAGTTGATGTCTTGGAGGTTCAGGAAGAGGCCTAGGAGGAGAGGTTGTCGCGAGACTTTGCTTAGAGGGCTGTCTTTGAAGTCGAGGGGGCCTTTGAGGTCTGGACCACCCTCGCGGACTGAGGTTGGAGACATGGTTGAAGGGAAGAATGTTGGTAGTAATAATGTCAATTTGCCGTGTGAAAGGTGGTGAAGCCAAAGTGTCTTATTCTTTTCCACAGGAAATGACTGATCAGTCTGAGAGTTGAGGGGTCCTGATATACATCTTTTGTGAATATTCGGCACTTGACTTCAGACGAGTTGGTTATGTAAGTTGGAGATGACGCGCAAGTGAGGAGCAATGTCGAGATCGCATCCTGCGTCGGTTCATTTGCATGTTGATTGCCGACCATCTCCGCCATCGGCAGACTTTGAGCACGCCATCGAGTGTTATCTCTGCCCTCCACTCTCTACATCGGCGTTTGAGGTGCGTTACTATTGGAGTATTTGAGTGCGAAACCAAGTTCTGATTCTAGCTTTTGAAAATGATGGCTTCTAGAAGATTTGTTCTCCGCCTTAATATACCATGACTTGTCCATTGGAAAGGACCCAACCAAGTTTCTAAACATGCCAGCGCTTTAGATACCAGTATTGACAGGAATAATGGTGCTAAACTTCAAGTTGGAATACCGACCCAGTAATATTGAGAAAGTCATTACCTCGATTGGACTTTAGAGCTTTAGTCTAGCTGCCTCAGACTTAACAATGGCGGGCACCTCATCTTCCAGACTCTTCTCCTGTGGCTTCCATCCGAGTACCTTCTTCGCGCGCAAGGCAGAAGCTCGAGAGTTCAAACCCCAACTAGCTGCCTCAAATCCAGCAGACGACTTGACGGCCTCGTCATAAGACAACTCTCGTACCTCGGGCTCTTGCTTGATGAAGCCCTGCTCATGGGCGGCCTTCCCGACCAGCGTTGACAAATCACCCCAAACATGCTCCCCGTTCTCAGTGAGGAAGTACCCCTTGCCGCCCCAGATCTCCTTGTCATCCTTCCGAGATGGGTCCAGCGCTGCCTCAACCAGCAACTCAAACACTACGCTGAGATCGTGAACATGGACATTATTCCACCGAGCAAGTCCCATTCCGATGCGGGGACTATATCCCTCTTTCAACACAAAGGCGGCCAACTCGTACACCTGGCGACCTCGGCCCGACACCGGTCCTCGTCCTTGGCCATAGATCGTGGGCGGGCAGACAATCGCAGTCTTGACGGAGTCAGGGTGCTTATTGCCGGTCTCAAGAACGATCTCGTCAATATTGCGGTGGAAGGCGGCGGCTGGCAAGTTGACGAGCTCGTCAACACCTTCGTAGTCGTTGAAGACCTTGTCGTCGTGCTTGCCAAACGTCTTCTTGACTTCCGAGTCAAAGTAGGTCAGGATGCCGGTGCCGCCCGTGTGCAGCCAGAATCCTGGCCGAGCTGGCGAGTGGCCCGATACGAGACCCTTTGCAATGGCCTTGGCTGCCCCTGCGTGGTCTGACGAGTCGGCCGTGTCTGGGTAAGGGGAGTAGGTGTTAGTGGGGTGACAGACTAGGATCTGGGAAGTACCTAGATCACAACTTACGAACAACAACATCAGCCCATGCTGCCTCGCGTTCCAGGGTCTCGGAATCATCGAGTCCTCCGATGACAATCCTGGCCTTCGGAAACTTTTCGAGCACCTTGTCTGCCTTTTCTTGAGTTCGGATGAGAAGCGCATATTCGAAATCGGGGTGCTTCTGGTACAGCTGGTGGAGGGCGTCGCCACCGATGTAGCCGGTAGCTCCCGTGAGAAAGATCTTGGCGGTCATTTTGGTAGTTTGTGTTGTGTGAGCAAGAAGAAGCTGGATTGAGCTTCTTGTTAACCTAATAAATGACAAGAAAATGATGTTATTGCTGGCGTGATTTACGTGTGACTTACGTAGCTAACTGTAGCTTCTTCTATGACGTCTGCGTGGATTTCTAATCATGAGTAAACCGCTCCCGGATATTTGTTTAACCACCGAGGGGCACGGGAAGTAGTTTCCGTCTTGCCTCATCCCCGCCAGAGACGCCGACAACCATTGGCTTCTGTCATTATAAGAGCTATCTCTAATGTTTCTAGATGCATCGCTCGTTGAAATAAGCTTATTTTTCCCATGACACGTGAAATATCTGCTTTACCAAGAGAGCCGTGCGATCGAATTGAGGCTGCCCACGTAGGCGGGGTATCGCAAGGTGCCCCTCACTTGCCATTTTCACACGGTCCCACGTTCATCAAAATCTGAGATGTCGACGGTCATTGCAGCTCAAAGTCCCGCGGGAATCACGGATGATATATCCGCCGTGACAATATCTTTCGTGTCTTCGTGTTCAAGAATGTTGAATTACTCAAATACTCCAATTTTCATCTAAAGGGAACGTTCAATGTTCCTCAGGCTTGTCACAGACTCGGGAGTGATAGCTAAGGGCATGACCGACCCCCACCCCCCTCCAGCCGGACACGAGGGAGACTGAAAGACAACCTGACTAAACCTCAGCCTCTGCTTGGGTACACGAACTCACTCAAGGGCGGCACATCTTTTCGTTCATAAGGAAGACATCCATGTGTGGCTGCGAACTTTCACAGTCTCCCGATTGGCAGATTCCCATGCCGCAAAAGTCTTCGCGTCCCCCACAGCGGCCGTATATGCTGCAGCAAGTTCCCTGCTTTCCAGCACACTTGCGATTGCCATTCGCGTATCCACAGGTCCCATCGGTCGTGTACACTTTGTGGCCCCAGCAGATACCCTCCCAGCAAGTTCCAGGCGCACAGTCGATGCTGAAAAGTGGTGAGAAAGATTAGCATCGCCAACTTCCAGTGAAACACGGTTATGAATGCGACCAAGGTAGCTCGGCGTTTCCACTTACTCTTTCTGGCCGCATCGCCAAGTCTCCGAATTGCAGCATTGCCCGTTTGTTCCAACACAGGTGACGCCTGGGCGCGACGGGCCACACACGCCATCCCAGGCCCTCTTCGGCTCTACGACTAAAGCGAGGAGAATGATAAGTTTGAAAACCGTGACGGCTCGTGCATTGTGAACACTCACATCCATCAGTGCAGTACGTGGCACAGGGAAATATGTTCTTGCAGTCGCGGTCCAAGGAAGGGTTAAGGAGGAAGAACTTGTCCAGTGTAATCTGGTAACGGACTGCTAGCTTCCGACAGGTCTCCGGACCGACATTTTCGTAGGTGTTACTCTCATAGCGACAGTTAATCTCCCCTGGTTGTGTAGCGGCACCTCTGATTCCATGAATGAGTGTATGAGTTGTGCATTTGCGTGGTCGTGATATCGTGACTGCGGGACGCCCGGGAGTAGTGGGATTCGCCCAAGTCACTGGCTTGCATTTTCCAGTGCTAGCGAGGAGAGAGGGTAGCGGGGTGATGCCGCTCACTACAATAGCGAAAAGAAAGATGGCAATAGTGGCGCTTGCGAGAGCACTGCCAACCTTGAAATACATCATAACCTCAAGTCGGTGTGAAGTTGGTGACGGACAAGCGGAAGCAACTTTCAGTCTGCTTCAATGACCGTTCAATGCTTCTCACATCTGCCAGAAAAAATGGGGGGGGGGGTTTTTTTTTTTTGAAGACGCAATTCCTGCCATGTGTCCAGATCGTGAGATAGCGAGACTGTGCCACAGAGGAACTAGGTAAGCTAGAGCACCTTAGGGAACTTTGGTGAGTCGCCATGGCAACATTAGGCATCAACTTCACACTAAATGCAATACGATGAAGACTGATATGGGAAGGCAGTGAGCAAGAGATGAGTGAATTGCTGAAGGCTGTTTCCAGTCTCAATCTCATCAGTCCATGGTAGACAACATCAATGATGCAGCAGAGATGGCATGGTGATATGCCTATCATCAGTGCCGACCCGTTTTTCGATAGTGCTTGTTGCCGAATGCATTCAAGAGCAGCATCTGAGCATCATAATGAGGGTGAGCATCTGATATATAAACTCCACGAAAGTCGAGCAGTTGGTTGCAGCGGTATCCTTTACGAGTCATTTCGTCCTGGAGCAATGACGTCTGTATAGCTGCCAAGCCCGACTCCGAAAACGAAGGGGAATCGTTCGCACTATTTGGCAGAGAATACGCGTATTCCGAGTCCTGGTGGATAGAGGAATACAGTGATCCCCGCCTACCAGCAGTCCGTTTCTGTCTGTGTGTGTGTGTGTGTTATATTTAACGCCGTGGCGGCAAGGGCGCAGCCGCCCTTGCGGCCGACCTCCCGAAGGGTATATGGCGTGGAGAGCCGTCGCCCTATAACTATTGCTAGATACAGTTCAAATCGTCCTCCAAATCGTGCCTTATGGCTACTATGCGTTCTATCTGTCCCTGGTTCCCGCTGGTGCCCCAGTTCCATTCTTGAATTTTTGCGGCTTAAGGCCGGATATGTCTGGAGAGGGCGGCCTGCCGAAACAGGCCCCTCGTACATGTTCTGATTTGTACAAGACCATTCCTGCCCCAGTACTTGGTTGACGACGTGTACTCGCCGCATATCCACTTTTTCTTGGTCGGAGGGTGTGGATATGAGAAAACCCTGGCGAGGGCCCGGAAAGGGTCCTAGGCCCCGCATTGGGCTCTGCCCTACCCTTCCCACAGGTAGTTAAAGCAGTTGCCGGCGGCTGGAATCGAACCAGCGACCTCTGGGCTCCAGAGGCCTTGCCAGGTGTATGCCACTACACCACGCCGGCAGTCCGTTTCTGTCATAGCATGGGCAATTCCCTTGTGAAGTCTAAATGTTGGTATACACGTCAGCAGGGCAACCGTACGGTTGGAACGAAGTGTCAATAATGGTCTATTATTGCTGCGTCTGGAGGTGGAAGGAGGAGATTGTAGGCAGAGCCCACGATCTCCCAGAAGTGGTATATAAGTGAAAGGGCCGTTTGCAAGTACCTATACCGCCTTCTAGATCTATCTTTTTTACTAACAACTCAGAGATCTAATACTAGTAGTTTTTTAATTATAAGCAGAAAAGATAGTGGATTTAAGGCTGAGTTCTATAGTTAAAGTCGAGATTATGGAATCTAGGGGTAGTATACCCTCTTTAGCCTTAGTATAACTTAACCGATTATTAAAAACTTAGTAGCTATAGTTAGCTTCCGTTATAATTGCTAAATAGAAATTTTAAAAATCCTATTTCTTAGATTCTCTTTCTAAACCTTTAATTTAATAATTTAAGTGCCTATACTCGTCGGAAATTGACGAATTGAGTATAGTTAAAAAAGAGCTTTTTTGTTACGACCCAACATGCATGACCAAGAACAGGGCCTGCCCCGCAGGCTCGCGGCGGTTATAATACACCACATATGCAGGAGATAAGGGACACTAGGCACCCTCTCACGGAACGGAAGAACTATGGTACAAGTCACGTGATGATAAGACAAGACATGAGCGGCCATGGTGGGGCCATGAGCGACCATGGTGGGGCCATGAGCGCTCATGCCAAGTAATGAGCGCTCATGCCGAACAATGAGCGCTCATGCCGAACGATGAGCGCTCACCCGATCAGAGGAACTGATCATTGACAAGGGATATTGTTACGCCCGCCGCAACTTGTCACTGTGGGCGCGTAGCTATATATGCAGAACAAGGGACAATGATGACCGGAGTCATCATTATCGAAGCTTTTGCTTTGTGCCACAGTTGGTTGCCTTGTCCAGCTCGTAACACGCAGCCACCTTTCACCTTCACCACAACATCACCAACCAACCATCAATACCAGTCGTATTGCCTCATTACTTGCCTCGTTGGTCCAGATGAGCAGTGTGTACTGCCCACAGCACACACCAAGTAGGTTGTCGCAGCGCCACACGTGGCGCTGCCGGTTACTGCCGTACGATACCGCTTTCCACAAGCCGATTACCCATCTTGTACGGTATATAGATATGACCCTTATACAGATCTTCCACTTAGAGGAATCAAGCCACTTTCTACTATACATGTCTTCCACTTGCTACCTCGCTTTATGATATAGGTAAATTAAGAAAACATACATGGCCTAACCTCAGCTCCTAAGCTCCATACAGATGGGAGTCTCCAGTCAATGATTTGACCACCGCTGTCAAAGCTTAGGCTGTCAAAACTTCACTTCTTGGTCAAAGGTCATGGCCAGGTCGATAGCCACATTTTGCCTTTGGGGTACTCATTGTGGCAGGTGCAGGTGGGTCACGTGAGGCAGCTCCTTCACATCTCGGAGCTGCCCCACCTACACCTTGCCCAGATATCCAGCCCAGCCAGCGCTCAGCTTTTCCCATCATCATCATCATCATCAGATCCAATACAGTAGTATTGCCTCCACACTCATCAATCAACAGTTTTCCAACCGTATTCACCTCAGTTACTGCGCATTTGTCGGCCCCTTTTCGCCGCTCGGCGGCGGAATTCCCGCTGGCTCCTTGTCCTTAGGAGGTGAATTGCTAATCGGATCCTCCTTCTCACTGGAACCAGACTCCTGACTAGAACAGCCCTGCTGGTCCGTAAGGCCACCGTAAAAGCTCTCTAGGTACGCGGCGTCCAGCTGAGCCTGAAAGTTGGCGTCGGTGACCGGAACTTGAGTCTTTTCATATTTGACATCCGAGAGCGCTTTCTTCGCAGCCTCAGGAAGAGAGAACCAACTGACGACTGTGCGCTCAAACACCTTGTCCCCACCAGCACCCGTAAATAGCGAGAAGGCATTGTCGTGGATTTGCATTTTGGGATGCGTTGGCGTGTCCACACCGACTCCTGAGGATGCATATGAGATCTTGCCTGACGGTGCGGTATCCCAGAAATGATCAGTTGTGAATGACACGCCCACAGGCGACACAGATGAGGCATCTCCCTCGCAACCGAACTGGTTCAACCAGACTACAACACTGGCCCAGTAGTGCGTGTGACCCTCGTTGTTGCCCTTGCCCCAGCGGACCTTGGGCATGTAGTAGGAAAACATGATGCCAGTGCGGTTTTGACTTTGTCCACCTCTGACGTAGACCTGAGCGGCACCTCCAGCATCACATCCACTTCTGCCACCTCCAGTTGGCCTCAAGCCCTCTCTGCATCACTTCTCGTTAGCTATTCGTTTTGTGCTTCAGAGGCTCGTGTGGATATTGATCTTACCCGAGGTTACCGGTAGCATCAACAGCAGGGTAAGGATCACAGCCGCCCGAAACATAGAGGAATGGATTAAACCGAAGCTCAAGTTGTCCCTCGAAACCTTGCGAGGCGCTCTGGGTGAGTGGAACGATCTTGTTATGGCCCAGTGTTGGATGTCCGCAACGCTGCCGCCAAAGCAAACAAACAAATCAACGCCAAGATTTGACTGATTTGACTGCCTTTTCCCCAAGATTGGTTACTTTGCCCTATTGGCCAATATATCAAACAAATCCATAGAACACGTGACCCGACGACGCCCATACTAATTACCCAATTAGGAAATAAGTGAAGCTATTCACAACTATTCATGATGCAATATGTGAGCCAATCTCAACCCCCATGGGCATGGCTTTCCTTTTCAGCCAATTCTTCGTCAACTGCAGCTGACCCATAGTCTGAGGCTTCATTGAGTGCCTTTGCGACGTCAGGGTCAGCTTCGCAGTACTGAATGCCCTCTCACAGTCAGCAGCCATGGCTGGTATTGCCAACACATCAAGAGCTAGTCTACTGAGTAGAGGATAGGTTGACTGGTGGTCTCTCCACCACTTAACAAGATCTTCCGTAGATTTAGGAGGCTGCCTGAGGTACGTCTCCAGCTCATCCTGCTGTCGAGAAGGCTCACGACTACGTCTAGTCTGTACCCATTGCCTGAAGTGGCTGTCTTCATGGGATGGAAGTGTGATCTCAAGAACAGCCGTAGAGTCATCAGACTCTTCCTCGGACCTATACCAATGGTCAAAGTAGTCCCTGAGCCCCTTCTTTGCATCACGAACCCACTCAAGCTGAACCCCTTCATCCCAGACTGCCTCAAGGTATGAGATACCAAGTGAAGGGTGGAGAATAACAGAAGCAGCAAACAAGGGAGACTCCTCTAACTTCGTATAGTATGAGGAGAGCTTCTGCCAGGCCAACTCAACAGAAGTACGAAGATGCTCCTGGTACGAGGAAGAGAAACCCATAAATCGAGCAGTACGTTGACTCCAGTCCTCTCTTACATGTTGTGGAAGTATGGATTCCTGAAGAGGCTGGGTCTGGCTGTTGACTGAAGATCGAATGGGGCGCCCTGATCGAGTCTGTGATGGTAGGGACTCTTCATCAGCAGTCACATTGATCGTAGACGACTCGTCTTCCTGTTGAGAATCAATGGGATGGAGTACGGAGTTGTATAGACTCTTCCACTCCCCTAGATGCTCAAGGAGGTACTCCATGCCAGTCATGACTTCCCAGAGACGACCATGCCCATCCCCTTACCCCATCCCTCCGTCCTCTTCGTCTGCAGGTAGAAAGGCTCAAGGATAGACTTGACTTCAACCAAGACTTTCCAATCTTCTGAAGAAAGGAGGTCATCGTCAGGTATCCTTTTACTGGCATTGTCCTGCTCCTGGACCCAGTTGATGTAGGTCTCGATCTCTGCCCTCTTCTGAAGAGCTCGATGGATCATGAGGTAGGTGGAATTCCATCTCGTCTCGTTGTTGAGAAGAAGATATGACTCCTGAGACCCCTGGCTGAATAGCTCGAAGTCTGACCCAGCATCAACTTCTTGGGCTGCTTTCCTGAATCGCTCAGATCGCTGAGGAGAAGCCCTGATGAAATTCACTATGTTACGAAGCTTACCAACAGGCCCCGTCTTCCTCCAGAGCTTCAGATCTTCCTCCTCATAATAGACAGACTGGTAGAAGAGTGACTCAGCCTCAAAGACTTTACGATCAGCACCAAAAAGAAGGGCTCGTGCCACCAGGTTGGGTATGTGGCCGTAGCATCGCATTCTCCTTGCCTGATAGTCCCCCTGATCCATCATAGGGTCGAGTCTCCTGAAGAGGGCAGAGATGCAGGTATCGTTGTTGCTGGCGTTATTACAGACCACCACACCCACTTTGCCAGTGATATCCCATTGCTGAAGAGTCTCGTAGATATTGTTGGATATGTTGGGACCGCTGTGATCGCCGCTCATGTGGTTGAAGGCGATGAGACGAGACTGGTGCTGGCCCATACTGTTGATGAAGTGGGCAGTGACTGCAAGGTAGGCGTAGTTGTTGGGTGACGTCCACAGATCAAACCCAATATGGATCTTAGTGAGGGCACTGTGGAGTTCATCCTTGACGTAGGATTGCCCCCTAGCGAAGAGAATGGGAAGATGGTCCATCATTGAAGTCCTACCCCATGGCACCTGATCAGCCAGAGAGGAGTTGTGGAGTCGTGGAACTTGTTGAACGAAGCTATCTTAAAAGTGGTCGAATGGTAGATCGTTGGTGATGATGGTGGAGAGACAGAGATCTATGACAGTAGCCACTTTCGACTTGGGTATATGGGAGATCTTCCTCCTCTTCGATGAACGAGTACCATGCTCTGAGCTGTGGAGAGTCTCTCCTGAGCTTGTCTCATCGGTAGCAGAACCCCATTGTGAGACTTGATGGCATCTGTATATAGATCAGTTAACAATAATCATACCAAAGGACATATACGTACCTGCGAAGATGGTCTGCAGCAGAGCTAGAAGCAGTAGCAGCAAAGAACTCTGGCTTTCCTTTACTGTCACATTGTTGACAGCACCAGTAAGCACCAGCTGGCCCCTCATCACAAAGCTCAACAAGGAAGACCCCATGGTCCTTAAGCCAACTCTTCCTCCCCCTGCCTCCTTTACGGGCCAGCTGCTCCTCAACCACATATCTCTTGTTCTGCCATATGATCTGTAGGCAGTACACACTGCTCATCTGGACCAACGAGGCAAGCAATGAGGCAATACGACTGGTATTGACGGTTGGTTGGTGATGTTGTGGTGAAGGTGGCTGCGGTGGGCTGGATCAACCAGGAGGTGGATCAGGCAGCTGGTGCCTGGGGCACCAGCCACTGCCTCAGGTATCCACAGTCCCACATGATCGTAGGGAGGTCGAAGATGGATGGATTCGAGGGAAGAACGACAGAGACACTGTTGGCCACTTGAGTTGCAATTCTGGAGGGGGATCGAAGCAGTTGAAGTACGTTGGTAGGTAAAGGAGTGGGGGACAACATCTGTGAATAGCATCGTTAGTTGTGAAACCAAGACATCATCATGCCTGGGGAAGAAGAGCTTCCTGGATGGATGGGGAAGCCCTTATATAGGGCCAGGGAGAGAGGAGGGGGGGAGTGGCTGACGTACGGTTGAAGTCATCATGGCAAAGGTAGGCAAGCCCAGGATGTTGGCGATGTTGCTGATGCTGGCTGCTTGTGAGGCATGAGGAAGAAGAAGAGACGTAGTAAGAGAGCGGTTCCAGTGCTTTTATACCCATATCCAACGTCGCTGGGAATCATAGATCACTCAGGAGTATTATCTGAAGAGAAAATACAGCCAGGAGGGCAGAAAAGAATGTCGCAAAGCTGTCAGGATTAATGGTGCTGCATACAGAAAAAGAAAGCTGACCGCGTTAGGGCGTGAATATTCGCGATAATGGCATCCCATTGGCTATATACAGACTTATGTAATATGCCAAGCCAAATCAACCCAATATATCAAATCCCGGTGGTCAGAAGTTGTTTGATTGATAGTTGGGAATAGCCTCAGTTGTTTGGTTTGTTTGGAAGTTTGATTGATAGATTGGCTTTAGCGGCAGCGCTGGATGTCCGGCGTAATCATCGTTGCCTCGCGGCAGGACGAAGGCCAATGCGCCGTGGACGAGAAGGCAGCTAAGTGATGGCTGTAAGATACCGAGCTTCATGATGAGCTTTATCGTTGGAAGCTTAGGAGTCTCAAAGGGCCACACTTCAAGAGGGTTGACGCGAGGTGTGTGGATTGATAAAGATGAAAGAAGCGGTGGCTATAGAATTATCAGAGAGACAGGTTAGCATTGAGATCTTTCTCGTGTAAAGGGCACTAATTTGAGGCTTTATCTAGTAATGGCTGCCCTCAGGATGTTAGTGTTAAGAGCCCAGCCCTCGTGAGGCCACGTAGGGGTGATTTCGGTATATAGAATCTAAGCTGAAGAGGAGAGATTTGGAGCGGGGATTCCGCAGAGGAAAAACGTCCAAGTGCGCCGCTCGGACTCTGTGAGAGTCGATGTCGGAGTCATGATTCCTTCGCCTCAGGATTGGAAGCCCGACATGTTCTGGAGCATAGACGATATGGCCGTCTACCCGAGTGAGAACGAAATCAGAGTGTTTAACGCGATCAACGAAGAAGACCCCACGCCCGAGCCGCGCAAATGCCGCTTCCAGACCATCATGATGGCCACTTGGAAGGAATATTCGAGCAAATACGTGTCAGAGCTTGAATATGTCAGCTTCGCTAGTATCACGAACGAAGATGCGCTGGAGTCAATCAAGCAGGCATACCTATGGATGGAGAGAAGCCAAGATGCGGGCGAACCGAACGAACTTCAAATTGACAAGACTGAGGAGGGAACTGATGAACGGAAGGCCTTCAACTGGATCGTGAACCAGAACCCGCTTGGCCGGGCTGTTCGAGGCATTCCGTCAACGTTCACCGCGATGGAGGATAAGGAGATAGATCGAGTCGATTTATGGACCAGCAACGGAAGCAGGTATATTCACTTCCGGCTTCGCTGATAATTCTTGTGCTCGAGCACATGTTTTCAACATATGTAATCAGCTTGGAGCATTGATGTAATCTCAGCGCGTCTTCTTGAGGAGGACTTCCGCGGTCCGACAGATGGTACCTCCGACTACTTGTGCATCTATAGCTTTCAGACTTATCAGGTTCTACTTGGTGTTTATCTTAATCTGCACTCAGAATACGGCAATGCCGTGCAAAAATAGAAGGGCATCTATAGACTAAAAGCACTCACTGGTCCAGGCAGCGTATCAAACCTGTGACTTTCTATTGAGCTGATGCCACATAAGCGCACGCTTTAAATGGCTTAGGTAGTAATAGACAGCTGAAGTGTGGTTGCCTAATCCAAGAAGGTAATGTGAAAGTCACAGCCACCCCGATGAATCATACAGATGGTTTCTTGTGCCATAAGCTTATGTTTTGGTTCCCCATAAGACTTCGTGGGACACATACTTGGGAAGGCCAGCCCTGCATTCCAATAAACACATCAATCATTCAAAAAGTTTGATTTGTGGTTTTGTCTTGTTCCCTTGGAGACATCCCACTCAGTATCCGAAAATCAATCTGATGGTCCATTGGCTTGACCAATCAAAGACTCTGGGTGTCGTTCTTCATTGTTGGCTGGCCTGAACTAGTTATGCTAATATTGGTTGGCTCGCATTGGATCCTTGTCGCCCCGCAGGCGCACCATGAAGGAACATCCGGATTATTATCTCCAGACGCCAGAATTCCTTCTTCTCCGCACGTTCGCCTGCCGCCGCTGATGGGTGTGTTTGTCGACATTACACAGCCAGGTTGAGCTTCCTTCACCCTCTACGGGGTCGAATCGCGGGTGGCTTGCCCCGTTATCGCTCCGACGGAGAGGCTGCTCCAGTGGGGTCGCGGCCTACGCAGACGGCCTGAAACAGAGACACGATGGCTCGAAAGGGCAGTCGGAAGACCAGAACTGGCTGCATAACGTGCAAGTGAGTGTGCTTGGAAGAGGTCCAGTCTCATGGACCGGTACACAGTGAAAGTTGAAAACTTGGCTCAGAAGATACCTCTTATCTAACTCTTCATCGCTGAGCAGGATACGTAAAGTAAAGTGCGACGAGACCAAGCCCACATGCAATCGCTGCGCAGCTACCGGCCGTCAGTGTGATGGCTACAGTCCAGCGCCTTCGCCAGCAAACAAATCCGAGCTCCGCCGCTACCGACCACACCATGTCTTTCCGGGGGCAGAGGGCGTCGGGGAGGGCAGGGCCTTGCAGTTTTTCTGCCAGGTAGCCGGCCCTTACATGTCGGGCGCCGTGGATCCCCATTTTTGGCCTAAGCTGGTGATGCAGTTCACCAGCTTCGAGCCTGCGGCACGTCACTTTGTCATAGCCATCAGTACCCTCTGTGAACGTCTACAGTTCCAGGAGGACATGGCTGAAGAGATCCTCTTAAAGGACGAAGTTTACGCCCTGCAACATTACAACACAGCTATCCACGACCTCAGGACTATGACTTCTCCTGAGCGAAGTCCCGTCATACTGCTTGTTTGTCTACTGTTCATCGCCGTCGAACTCCTACAAGTCAACCGCGATGAGACCATAAAGCACTTAAAACACGGATTTCAACTTCTGAAGAATACAATCAGAGACTATGCCTGGACTAAAGAACACTTACTGCCCCTGTTTTGACGGCTGAGCATTTACGCGTTCCTGCACGCGGTCGACCCTAAGGACTTTCCCAATCTAGAAGGGCTCGAACATCCAGTTCCTACTACCTTTTCAACGTTCTACGACGCCCAAAGGATGATTGACGACATCTTCAGCCGTACCTTACGGCTGGTTCGGAAAGGTGACCCTTATAGAATATACCCAGAAGAACACCAACTTGTACCGCCTGATCTACTAGTCGAGCAAGACAGCCTTACATCGTCACTAGATCAGTGGAAGATCCTATTTGACGAGTTTGAAGCCCGGCCTGCATCGCCACCGAGCGACCCTATACCCGGGCAAGGCACTTTAACGACAGCGTTGAGATACGTCATTCTATCGCGCTACGAATGCTGCAGGATATGGCTGAACACGGCATTTGGCGACAAAGAGTATGACTACGACGATCACTTGGCTGTATTTAAAGCGATGTCTACAGAAGCAGGGATTGTAGATCCGGAGGTTCTTGTGACCTTTGAAGGGTCACCGTATTTCACATTCGACACCGGCTATCTACCCTCAATCTCACTAATTGCAACGAGATGTGCGCATCTGGAGACGACATTAAAGAATCTGAAGCTGAAGCCGCTTCCAGCTCTTCCAAGAGAAAACATGTGCCTGCTTGCCCAGGCTGGAGATTGTCTCTGCATAGCGTTACCAGCATCTTCGCGGAACCGCCCGAGTGCAAGTTTGGATCGACTGGAGATTGCGGACTAAAGTAATAGAGGTTCTGTACTCTGAGTACTTAGATATCCCTACGCATGTATGTATACGAATGAACGTTTCACGGAAGAAGCAGACTGTTCGCTTTGTGCTTTGTCCCATTTACTGCACCGGCGGGTGTCCATCTTGAAGCCAAGAATTGACGAGTGAGGCAGACTCAGCTGGCAGGTCAAACGGAGCCAAGTAACCAGAGTTGAAAATCTCGGCGTAGGTAAGTTCTTTGTAAGACTTCCACCTCCCAGCTTGTTTAGCCTCATGGTACCAAGGTATCATCTCTCGAAAGCGGAAGAAGGGGTGGCCATGCCAAGCAAGCCCTTCGTTGAGTAATCGTCGCATTCCAGCTGCGTTGCAGTACAAATCCTTGTCATCCACATATACGAGAACGCGAATGCTCTGCGAGAATTGTCAACGAGTTCCTGTAATATAGAGCTTATTCGGTCTGTAGGGTAGGTACTTACCTCATTTAGAAGCCTATTAACGTACCCATCGCTAGACTTCCACAAGTCACCCACGCTCTCCCACTGCTTGAGGACTTCATACGAGATTCCATCAAATGAGGCATCCTCGTCAACTCCAAGGGCAGCCTTGACCTTGGTCTGGTTCAATGGGGCGTCGATATGGCCCAGCTCAGCGTAGCACTCTTCCGAAGGGCCGTCACCGCAACTTCGTCTCCAGTCGTAGGGGTTTTGCTTCATACTCTCAACCACATAGCCACTCATGGAGGAGCACTTTTCATGAGTTTCGATACACGCTCGGGATGTCCATCCTTCATCATCGCGCGTCCCTTCGCAGACACCCAAATTTTCCTCACACCATAGGTTCAATGGAGCCCATTCGATACACTGTGAGGTGCTGAGAAGGCTATCAGGTCCAGAGCAAAGCGCTTCGAAAGTTCCTGGATTCTGAACGCGAAGTCGTACCAGTCCATTGCCGATGAGAATCCCCTTCAAGTTAATACGCGGGGCCCGCAAAGGTAGTTGGATTGGCGAATGATCTCCTGCCCGATGGCGCTCGTCATCCTGAACTAAAAGCTCTGTAGGAGCGGAGTGACTGCCGAGGTTGTGGGGGTCTTGGTTGCGAGAAATTGCCTCGTTGTCAAGTATCGTTGAGGCCAGAGCCGGCACCCATGACCCACCGTAAGAGTCTCCAGCGATGTAGAAATCAAGGTCTGAATACTGGGGAAAGGCGATCATAAGTTGACGGAGAAAGCGATCCATCATTTGAGATGCTTCTTGCAGACCATTGGGTATCTTGGATCCTGTTGAGTAGCCAACACTCACTGGCTGGCTGGAGATGGATCATACAAGCATTAGCCTGGCATCTTTGGAGGTGACAGATAGGAATCCCGAGATCGAGGTCGCCCTCGAAAGACACAACTCAACTTACTCGACAAAGACCAAGGTTGCATTCGTGTTCCAAGCGTACGGGTTGTCGATGGTGTACCCGCCCTCGGGCGCGATGCGACAGGGGCCTAGTTCCATGAGGTTGCCATAACCTGTGGAGGACGCTCCTGGGCCACTAGAAATGCCCAATATCAACGTTAGCAGTGAGGTATCACGGGTATGTAAGTACGGGTGGCCCTAGCGTATGCGACAGACCATCGCTACGGCGCCTCCTGAACGATCGAGACGACGGCAAACACTGACCCAGACATCCATAGTATTACGGGATCATTAGAAGGCCGATGTTTACTCTCAAAGAGCCAGAAGAAGATATGATTCTCATCATCGCCTTCAGTGCTATCAATGAAGCCGGCGACACCGGGAGTTGAGCTATTGCACACACTCGCCGTTTCAGGTCCGAGCCTGAGTGAGAATCCCGGGATGTCGGCCGTAGCGGGGAAATGTTTCGCGGGAGAGCTGGACGACCGAGAGTGAGTTGGTGAAGCAATGGCCAATGCCAACAGCAAAGGCTGGTGGAGAGGCCATGACACTGAGAATATCGATCGGCGTGACATCTTGACAGTTCCGGCTTTTTTTGAGACACCAAGGTGCCGTGAAGAAGTTGGATGAAGGGCCAACTTTTGACTCGATTCCGATACAGCGCATTTGATGACCCGAATAGGAATAGTGGGGGTTCCTGATCAAGTTGACGGATCCTCGCGATAAGCAGCAAAGGGGCTAGCTAGCTCACCTTAACATACTTATCACCGCAACTTTTAAAGTCAAGTGGCGAGAAGAGATAATAATCCTGATTCCTACATAGCTATTTCGTTACGGTCATGGCACTTATCATATACAAATTTCAGGCAGTGGCACCAGCAGCCTCACCATCAATAATCAAGCTCGAGGCCTCCTCTGCATCACTCGGCTTGACGAGCTTAATGGATACCTCAGGGTCCCGAGCATACACACGCAAGCCCACGACGCACACAGCATTCCATGGAGACCCGGGCAACTCCTCGTCGTCATCCAAGACAACTGACTCAGTATCGGAGTCTGAATCAGAAGCTTCTTCTTCCTCAGCAGCCTCAGCAGGGGCCTCCTCAGAGACATCTTCAGACTTGGGTTCAGTGACGACGGTCTCCTCAGCCGGCTTTGACTCTTCGGACTTCTTGTCGCTCTTATCGTTGCCGGTTTCTTTCTCAGAAGTTTTCTCCTCGGCAGCCTTCTCGTCAGTCTTCTTCTCCTCGTCCTTCTTTGGCTCCGGGGTGGGCCCATCGCCAGGCTTTGACCCAGATAAGCCTGATGGCTTCTCTGCCTCAGTGGGCTTGGTTCCCTCATTCACCGAGATCTTGATCGCAATCGAATCACCTTCCTTCTTTTGATCATTGTCTTCCGCCTTCTTCCCTTCCTTTTCGGCACCATCTTTGCTGTCCTTCTTTTCATCAGTCTTCTTGCCCTCATTGGCGAGGTCAGACACGACTTTAGCCGAATCTTCAAGCGTCTTGGCCACAATTCCAAGAGCCTTCTTCTGCTTTCTTCTCTTCTTCGCCTTCTTGCTCTCCTTCTTCTGCTTTGATTCAAGCTTCTTCTTCTCCACGAGCTCGTCCTCGTTCCGGACACCACCCTTGGCGTGGGCGATATCGTACTGCAGGCCGACTTGTCGCAGTTTTTGCGGGTTGCGTTCAGCGTACTCCTTGACCACTTCCTCGACAGGCTTGATTGTGCTGACGTCACCTTCGCTGTTGCGAACGGCTGTGATCTTGGGCAGAACCTCGTAGATCCCTGGCTCCAAGTCGACCTCGCAGGTTACTGAACGGTTCTCCCATTTGTGGACAGGGCGGACGCGGCAGATCTGCTCTGGTTCAGGGACATCTGTCTTTTTCTTCTCTCCATCCTTCGATTCGTCGCCGGCCGTGGAGGTCGCAGAAGCAGCTTGCTGAAGGACGAAGTGCAGCTCGAACCAGTACTGTCCCTCAAACCCGTGGAAGTAGCGGTCGTCGAGCTGCGTCAGGACGATAACAACCATACCCGACTTCTTGACCTCAACGACGAACTTGGTTTGGAGAAAACCTGTGACCCAAGATATGTTGGCCGATGTCCACTGTTGCACGACGGTCCACTTGTCATCGAACAGGCGTGTGCGATGGATGTACATGAAGGTCGAAAGCATATCCTGGTACGACATCCAAAAGACGCCATCATCGCCAAAGGTGTGATTCATGCGCTTAAGCCAGTATGGTGTCCATTCCTTGGAGCCGTCAGACCATGGCCCGTTCCATTCGCCGACACCACCATCAGATCGTTGACCCCAGGGGTTCCTGTGGGTAAATGTGTCAGAGCAAAGCAACGTACTTAATCTCTGGGAACAAATCTTACCTGATCTGAACGAGGCGGACCTTCTTTCCATCCTCGTCAACCTCTTCTCGTGACTGGAGGATAGAGTATGCGTGTCCCAGAGCGAGGCCACTCTTCTGCCAGTCCCACCCAGTGCCCATAGCAGCTAGGGCGAAGACAAATTCGCCGTCCGAGTTGACAAGCTCCTTCCACAACTTATCCTTCCTCAACACGCGGTTAGTAGCGATAGTTGAGGTTACGCCACCTGTCATATCCTCAACTCCTTCGCCGGGCCAGCCACCCGAAATGGCCTCATAGTCACCGTGAACCTTGGCATATGCCTTTTCGAGAAGCGGCAACCACGTCTCATTCTGATCTTCGCAGCGGGCAAAGTAGAGTGCATCGGATCCTGTCTGTAACCTTTTCCTATGCAGGCGAGCTTTCTTGCCACTGGCATCATAGACATCTCCATAGTAGTCAAAGTCCGACTCGTTGAGGTAGAGATTATCGTCAATGACTGTCGAAATCCACTCGCCGTCGCGCTGGAAGACAAAGCCATAAACACCACACTCTTCGTCGCGAGCAACGCAGACTTTCTCCATGAGATCTTTGCGATGCGCAATGGTAGCGACTGCTGCGAGCCACCAACAGTCACCATTAGAGCCTTGCTTGATGTCGGAAGACGAGTAGCCGTTCATCGTGAACTGCGGCGAGTCGAAGATACAGTCAACGCGATGGATTGAGCCCGGGTTGTAGTACTCGCCTCCGCGGACGCCATGACGCTTCGAGACTTTGCCAGATCCAGACTTAGCTCTCTTGCCGGCGGCTGCATTGGCAAAGGGGTTCCAGATGTCACTGTCGCCCCCAAGAAAGCGGCTCACCGCCGTGGGGTCGATGGGGATAGTGGAGCTAGGACCCAGGATTTGCGCGGCGTTGAGAGTGTCGAGGCTGTTCTTCACATCCCAGCTGCTCACATATGGAACATCTCCCGCGCCGCCGCCACTTCCGCCAGTCCCCTGGTCCCCGTCGCGGATAAGTCCGTTAAGACAGTTCTTATTAGGGTCACGTTCGATGTCGAAGTCGGGGTCGGTAAACTTTTCATTCGTCCTCTCACATTCCCGGATAATTCGCTTGACCTTCTCTCGGCATTCGCGAGCAGCCGCATCATAGGATTCTTGCGCGTTGCGAGTGGATGATGCTCCCTTCTCCTCAAAAGCAGGGAGGAGAGAAGAGTAGAGGGTACGAGGGAAGATAGATGTCACCTTGCCCGGGTACTTCGAGTGGAACTTGTCCCAGAAGTCGGACAAGTTTTCTTGAGGACTCTTCTTTGAGCGTTTCGTCGCTGAAGGAAGCGGGGGCACTGATGGTGGTGGATCTCCGTATGTCGCCATATTGGGCAACGTCGCCAATCAGATATTGGGGCAGGTGAACTGATCGATGCCCTAGTAGTCTTGGTTCAAAACGGGTCAGGAGATAGGAAGTGACTGACTGGTTTAATGGACTTGAGTTTCTATCGGCCATGCCGTTGGACTTAAGTAGTCCCCGCAGTCTGGCCAAGGCATCATTCACACCTTGGAGGGTTGTATGTCACGGCCATGGTAAGGCTACGAGCTACCTACCGAACCCGGCATCTAGTGCTGACGCACGAGAGATAGTTCCCGTGTACAACCGCACATCAAGATATTTGGGTGTGAGGCTGCCTAGAATCGCCTTACTTGAGTGTTACAATATTGAATTTGACAAAATTGGACCAATTGAATGGAACAAGTGGTATGAAGGCGCCTTGGGTATCGGAACGACCGGCTTGCTTGGCCGCGCTCTGCAGAACATTGGACCAAACTTGCTCTGGTTCGTAACGACTCGCCAGGGTTGGATCTAGAAATTCGTACTAGAAACACCAACAGGACGCAGATTGGGGGCCATCCTGCCGCTGGGCTTCAGGGTCTAGTGCCGGGTGAGAACATGGCGCCAATGACTTTAGCGCCGCGAGGTAGGATCGATGATAGCGAAGCATGCGGCTGACCCCTAGGTCTCCTCCTTGGCCACGCACACTGGATAACATGAGGAAAGGCTTGCTGCCTCATTTCAGCGAAGTACCTGTGAATAAGATAACCCCGCGCGATGAACTGGCGACTCTCACGTAAGATTTGGGGGAAAGCCATGCATGCATGAGATGCAGGCCGCTGCTAGTGTGCGTCGCTACCCCAAGCGTTTACGACCAACTCATTTTGTATGAGGTAGCGACCCAAAACAGGGGTTCGATGCAGATGAGATCATGAGAAGGTGAAGCTGAGGTTTGAAATGCACTCACAGCAGTGACCGGCTTGCTGTTGGTCATTTCCAAGAACACATTGGTTAAACCATGGCCGCCCAGAGAGAGATTAACCAGGAAGGTCGCTTGTGAGGAGTCTGGGACCTTACCGCGAATCCCCTGAATAACGCTGGTATTGTCGATGCAGATGTGTATAGGCTGGCCTTGGGAGGTCTGAAGGGCCCGTCGGAGCCCAGCCCTCGCCCCCTCCGCCTCACCATCAAACACTTCTGCTAAGCCGAGACGGCCGCAGCCCTGGGCTATACGTTTATTGTTGCGGTAGATAACAAAGCCGAACCCTGTAGCCCCGTCAGGAGCTTTGGAGCCGTCTGATTATACGACTGTATGCTGACCTGGCACAGTCTTGAGCCAGGCCTGGAAGATCCTAGCTGCTACTTCCTTCGTCTGTGTAACTATAGGGTCACAGGACCCTGGGAGGTATTGCGGCTGTAGGAGCGCTGGCCTTGGACACTTAGGTAAAAGGCCAGCTGTTCTTTGAAGCCTGGTCTGTTGCCGCCCTGACTGCAGCAGCCTTGGGACCAAGGGATGCTGTTGGTCAACCTTCTGCAGGCGTATAGCGAAGCGTAGTCGCGCTGCTTCGAGGGCTACCTCTGCTGTGGGAAGGCCAGCGTCTTGGATGAGGCTACTGGTCGGTGTGGTTCTCCAGACAGGCAGGATAGCCCTTGCTGCTGCTGTAATAACTTTGCTAAGTCTACGGGCCAGGCCCTTCTGTCCTGTACCAACTGTAGGTATCTGTAAAGCAGTGCTACTGCTAGTATTGGTGCCGCTGTTTAGGGCTGGTTTGGTTAGGCCCGCATACCAGGTCTCAACTCCATACAAGGCTGTTGGAAGGACACAGGCAATAACCGCTTGTCGTACTGCGGCTGCTGGGAGTCCCCCTTTGGTATTTGTTAGGTGCCGTAGGAACTGGGCTACCTTCTTTGCCGCTGCCACCTTAGTTTCGACATGGTGACGGAAGGTGAGTCTCTTGTCGAACCAGACTCCTAGCCATCGTACAGGCTTAGTTGAGGCCTTCATAGTTAGGCCCGTCGCCTGTATATCTGGTAGGTCTTTTGTCTGGTTATATTTCCTGCTGAAGTGGACTGCCTCACACTTAGCTGGGTCAAAAGCAACCTTGTTATCAGTGCCCCAGTTAAGGATATGAGTGATCTTTTGGCCTAGGGCTATAGCATTTCCTTCTAGCGACGGGCTAGTAGCTACTAAGCCTATATCATCCGCATAGCCAAACCGTAGTTCTTGATCGTCGGCTAGGATATCCGCTAAATATAGTAAACAGAGAATAGGGGATAGTGGGGAGCCTTGTGGTAGCCCACAGGATAGAGGGAAATCCTCTGTAGTTGTATCCTCTAGCCTGACCCGGGCTGCTCGGCTAGAGGTAAAGGTGAAGATCAGCCTAATCAGATGAGTAGGCCAGCCCTGCTGTCGTAGCCTGATAATAAGTCGGTTTCTTAGGACAGAGTCAAAAGCCCCTTTAACGTCCATTGTCACAAGAGTTGCAGTGAGCCCTGAGTCTAGAGCCCTCTCGATCTCGTGGGTCAGACAGGCTGTTAGGTCGACTGCAGCCCTGCCTGGTAGTGCTCCAACCTGCTGTGGGCTAGCAACCCCTTCTAGGATAGTAAGGTAGGCCATCCTTTTTGCTATTAGCCGCTCTAGGCTTTTACCTAAGCAGGATAAAAGGGATATCGGACGCCAAGACCCAGTCTTCGAGAAGTCTGTTTTCCCTGGCTTCTGGATCATGACAACTTCTGCTTTGCGGAACGGTCGAGGGAAGTGGCCTACTTGAATACAGGCCTGGAAGAGCTGCTGTATAGGCCTAGCTACTGATTCCCAGGTGTGTTGTAGTAACTTTGTAGTAATCCCGTCAATCCCAGGGGTTGTAGTCTTTGTTAGAGTAGCCTGGCGTACTTCTTCCATGCTGACCACATCCTGCCAGGGCATTAGACGCCGTGCAACTACTGGGATAGCGAAAGGGTCCCCAGGTAAGTCGTCTGTAGCGTTAAATCTCTCTAGTAAGGCCTTTCGTAGGGCCTGGGCTTTATCGTAGCTGTTGTCGATTGTCTGACCTTCCACTATAAGAGGCGGGTCTTTAACAGCTAAGCCAGCCTTCCGCCAGCCTACTATCTTATATAGGTCTTGGTCTGTCTTAGCCCCTTCGATCTTAGTAGTCCAGTAAGCGCGTTTTGCCCTTCTAACAGTTGTTAAGAAGATCTTCTGCTCCTCTAGGATGGGGGGAGGTATAACTAGCCCAGGTTCCTGGGCCTGCTGGCGCCTAGCCTCGATAGCAGCTCGGTGGGCTTCTGCACACTCTTCTGTCCACCAGGGGGCTCCCCTACCCTGATTTGTCCGTCTCTTACCTACAGCTTGAATAGCTGTATAGAAGAGGCTGACTAGTTGGGTAGCTAGAGTGTCCAGCTCTGCTGGACTAGGTACTTCCCCTAGGGTAGGTAAGGCTGAGGATCCAGCTCTTACTAGGTCGATAAGTCGGGGTAGGGCTGACTCTGGGACTGAGAGGTGGCCAGTCTGGCGTTTCTGTTCCTGGGCCTTGCCTATAGGGATAGTTGTGGAGGCAATACTACTGTATTGGATCTGATGATGATGATAGGAAAAGCTGAGCGCTGGCTGGGCTGGATATCTGGGCAAGGTGTAGGTGGGGCAGCTCCGAGATGTGAAGGAGCTGCCTCACGTGACCCACCTGCACCTGCCACACCGCCCCTCAGGCCAGCCACAGTGAAAACTATCGTACATGTGAGAAGCAGGCTCAAATACCGACAATCCCAATTAGTCCTCCGCTGTATCCCATGCTCCGCCTATATCCTCCGTCCTGTGCCTGAGCCAAATAATCCTTTATCCCTTGTTTGTTCGGTCGGGTATAAGGATATCTATATGCTCATTTGCAAGCGATTTTCGTAAGGCCAAGCATTTTGACGAAGTTGGCGTGCTTCTCGTAATTTAACGGCTTCGTGAGTCCGTCAGCAGGCATGTCATGTGTTCGGATAAGTTTGAGGTTGAACAAGCCGTTTTTGACTTGATCGATGATCCACTTGTATCGTAGATCGATGTTCCTGGTTCGCGCCTGGTTTAGTGGATTCGTTACGTTGATCAGCGCGTTGCGGGAATCAGTAAATAGGACCGTAGGACGAGGTTGAGTGCAGCCGAGAAGTCTCAGCAGCTTATGAACCCATTGGACCGAAAGTCCCGTTGGAGTAAGGTTAATGAATTCAGCTTCCGTGGAGCTGGTTGTGACGTAAGTCTGTTTCTTCGACTTCCATAGCACTGGGCCACCGGCAAGGATAACGACGTATCCTCCAGTGCTCACTCGGGTAAGGCGACAGTCGCCAAAGGCCGCGTCGCTGGCAGCATGGAGTCCGAGGTCATCAATAGGCATAGAAGCGTCAAAGGTGATGCCGAGGTCGACTGTGCCAGTGAGGTATCTCATGAGGTGCTTGATTGCTGCGAAGTGGTGCTCACCAGGGCGGCTGTTGGCTTCGCAGAGTTTGCTAGTTGCGTAAGTTATATCGGGGCGCGTACCGGTCGAGAGGAAATTAATAGAGCCTGTCATTTGCAAGTACAGCTTGCAACGGTCAGTTTCAACTGGTTCATACTCAACTGGCCACTTGGCGACGATATTGTGATCCATTGGTGTGCGGACTGGATGGAGGTCCACGTATCCGAACTTCTGAAGCATCCTGCGACAGAATTCGGCTTGTGATAGGTGGAGGGTCTTGGCTCTCTCATTGCGACAGACTTCGTAACCTAGGAATCTCTGAACGTCTCCCAGTTCTTTCATGCTGACAAATGACTTAAGGAGATCCTTGACTTTGCGAATAGTGTTCCGGTCTGGAGCAGCGATGACGTTGTCATCAACATACATCAAAACAATGCAGTTGTACTCGTCATGGATAAAAAGGCAGACTTCGCCTTCAATAGCTCGAAAACCGAGGTCAGTCATGTGACCTTTGATCTTGTTGAACCACCATACAGGTGCCATGGGGTGGCCGTAAAGGGCACGCTTGAGGAGGCAGACTTTGTCTCCTTGGCGATAGCCATGGGGCTGCTGGA